ATTACAGTCATATAATTTGTTCATTCACTCTTCAATGGATAAGGACCTATCATTTCCAGTTTTTTGTTATTACAGTGTTGCTGTTAGTGGTAACAAATGAATTGTCTTTGACCTCCTTTTCTGTATATAGTGGTATCTCTGGATTAAAAAAGCATTAACAGTTTGCAATAAATTTGATTTGCAACATATTCAAAATTGACATGGTTTCTACCAAATTCTTGTGGGCTTGGGGGCTATCTTGGCCCAGAGGATCTAAGCACCAAGGAATCTGAGCCAAATCAAATTATTTCTGATTCCAAACTTTTTGGAAACCAGTCTAGTTACAATTTATGCTATATTATGTGTAATGAAAAACCTCTTGCACCAGATCTAACCCCAAACCCTTAAGACCCATCTATAGTTGACTTTTTTACATAATTCCAAATTGTTTTCCAGATTATTTGGACTAATTCACAATTCTACCAATAATGGATGTGTGCTTCTCTTCCCATAACCCCTTCAACATTATTTCCATCTTGTATCATCTTTGCCAATTGGACAGGTGTGAGATGAAAGCTCAGAGCTGTTTTAAGCATTTCTCTCCTGCCTCCATGTCTTGAATGTCCTGCTGATCTCTTAGGATCCTTAGCTTCCTTTCAATGTTCTCCTCAATTGCCAACTTCTACAAGAAACTATTCTTGAGCTTCATACTTCTTAGTGTTTTCTTTTTCTCTTGAATTATTTTGCATATAATTATCTCTTTGAGTGTTTTATCACCCAGCATGTCAAACAAAAACTACTTGAGGCAGGGACTGTTTTTGTCTTTATATTTTATAGCACTTGGAAAAGTTCCTTAAATATAATAGATACTTAACACCTCTTAAATGGAATTATTTGTTTAAAAAAATTTGTGGGTTTTCAGGTGTTGATGTTTTGTAATTATTCTTTTGAAAGCTGGAATCAAATTGGTAAGAAGGGAAATATCTTTGTTAAATAAATAAATATATATATGCATATATATATACATATATATATACATATATATATATATACATATATATATATACACATAATACATACTTAACAAAGATATTTCCCTTCTTAGCTTTGTTATAATTAGATTGGGCACAACCTCTCAGAGGCTTGTCTACATAGGAAAGATTCCAGAGGCTAGTTAAACTACAGAAAGAACAAATTAACGAAAAAAGTATTTATTAAGTATTATTATTATGTATAATATTAAAAGTATAGTGCTAAATCCTAGAGACACAAATCAGAAACCTAAACCAGTCCCTGCTCTAATCTAAAGGAGCCGACATTTTGAATGGGGAAGTGTGATAATTTTGAACTTTATTATTTTTGATGTTATGGTCATAGTTTGATATTATAATAATAAGACTCCAGTATGAAGTCACACAGGCTAAGTAGTCCTACTGCCCATAAAAACATAACAGCAAAACAAAGTTTGTACATTTCCACTGTTAGCTGTATCAGGCAGATGAGGCTTGCAGCTTTTTTGATTGGATGAACTCTTGACCTAGTAAAGGGGCCTTGAGTCATTCATTCTCTTTCTGCTGCCTTAGTTAAAGTTGGATCCTCCCATCATTTTATGATCCTGATAAACTCCATCTACCCAAGCTTCACCCAAGCCTGGTATGGATAATAGACTCTGAGAACTTTTCCACCACCTCCAGATCTGATTAGGAATACCTCCTTCCTGGATGTAGAAAGCATCCAGTAACACAAATGCAACTAATCTACTAAAAAATAGAGACATTACCTTACTGACAAAGGTCTGCATGAATCAAAGCTGTAGTTCTCTAGTGGTAACATGTGGCTGTGAGATTTGGACTATCAGGAAAACCAAGCATGTAGAATTACGTGTGGTGCTAAAGTAGACTTTTGAGAGTTCCTTGGAGAGCAAGGAGATTAAATCAGTTAATACTTAAATTCAGACTATGCATTAAACCTTCTGGCTCTAGAATATCAAGGCAGTTTTCCTTCATAATTTCTTGAAATATGATATTTAGGCTCTTTCTTTGATCATGGCTTTCAGGTAATTCAATAATTCTTAAATCATCTCCCCTCAATCTATTTTCCAAGTCAGTTGTTTTGCCAGTGAGATATTTCACATTTCATTTTTTCATTCTTTTGACTTTGTTTTATTGTTTATATCTCATGGGGTCACTAACTTCTACTTGCCCAATTCTAATTTTTTAAGGTTTTATCAGTGAATTTTTGTACCTCCTTTTTCATTTGGACAGTTTTTTTTAAGGATTTATTTTCATCAGTGAATTTTTGTACTTCTTTTTCCATTGGACCAATTCTGTTTGTTGAGGTGTTTCCTTTAGTATTTTTTGCACTTCTTTTACCATGCTATTTGTCTTTTCGTAATTTTCTCCTTTGCTTTCATTTTACTCCCTAATTTTTCCTCTACCACTCTGATTTTGAAAATCAATTTTAGCTCCTCCAAGAATTTGTTGGACTTTTGTCCAACTCATACTTTTGAGGCTTTGCTTGTAGCTATTTTGCCTTTGTTGTCTTCTGAGTTTGCGTACTATCTTCTCTTTCACCCTAGTAACTTTTTATGGTCAGGTTCTTTTTTTGTTGCTTATTTTTTCACCCTAATTCTTAATTTTGAACTTTATGTTAATATTGAGCTCTGTTCCCAGTTTGGGGGGGGCAGTGCTTCAGGCTTTTTGACACTGCTGTTTTCCGAGCTAGTTCTGGGTTTTTTTAAATTTTTTTGGTGTTTCCAAGGTGGTGTGATCTGGGGAGATCACACTGTTGACACTGCTCTCTTCATCTGCACTCTGGTCTTCACCCATGAAGGGCCTCTGATCCCTTTGGATTACAACTGATACCATTCCCCAGGACCTCTCTTCTGTTGGGGTCAGAAACAATACTTCTCCTCCTCAGGGTTGCTGAACCCTTGGGGCTGGAAGTGATATTATCCCTCAGGGCTTCTACCCCCTCTTGACCAAAAGTGCCCATTCTCTGCCCTTGAACTGAGACCCAGAAGTGGGTATAGGCAATGGAGCTGCCAAACAGTGTCTGGTCCTGTATCCATTGCTAGCACTAGGGTAACCTGTAATCTCTGATCAGGTGTCAGGTCCCCTTACCATCTCAGGCTTAAGAGCTCCTAAAAATGCTACTGCTTCTATCACCAACCACTTAGTCCTACCACTGATGTTTCAATCCCATGGCCTCCAGGCCCAGCTCCTCATTCATATCACAGATCTCTCTTTCTGACCTCCTATGATGTCTTGGGCTGGAAGAATGTCACCCTTTCTGTTGGCTCCGCCACTCCAGATTACTTAAAGGTTTATCATATTTTAAAATTTTTTCAAAGAATCTACTTTTAGTTTTACTTATCCTTTTTTTTCCAGTTAAACTATTTCTCTAATTTTTAATTTCTCTCTGTGATCATTTTAGATTTCTGTGTTGGCTTTCTAATTTTTAGGTACATATTCAGTTCTTTTTATTTTTTGGTAGGAATATAGTTTTTCCCAAGCACTACTTTAGTTCCATCCCAGAAATTTTGGTATGTTGTTTTATCATTATCATTTTCTTTGACTTACTCATTATTTAGGATTTCTTTGTTGAGCATCTTCATTTAGGTCTGTGTCTTCTGTTTGAGCTCCCTGAACTGATTACTATTTTTATGGCTTTATGGTCTAATACTATTTGTCTTTTTATATTTGTTGGCATTACTTGTGGTTTTTGTGGCTTTATGGTCTATATTATTTGCCTTTTTATATGTTTGAATTACCTGTGCTTAAATACATGATCAAGTTTTGTCAAATGTTTCCTGTGGGGGTGGGATTTACATATATATATGTATTTGTGTGTGTGTATATGTGTATATATATATGTAGTCCCATTTAGAAGACACCATAAGTCTTTTAGCTCTCGTTTCTCCAGCAATTTTTTCACTTCCATTACTTTCTCATTTATCTGTTAAGACATCCAAAACTGAGAAAGGGGCATTGAAATTTCCTGTCACTATTGTCTTATGTCTTCTTGTAGGGTCTGTAAATGTTTCTTTTACGAATTTAGATGCAAAGGTATTTGAAGTATGTTAATACTGATATTAGATTATTATCTATGGTTCTTTTCAGCATAATGTAATTTCCTTGTTTATTCATTTTTATGTTTTGAATATTTGCTTTTGCTTTGTCTGATACCATGGTTGCAACTCCTATTTTGCATTCACTTGATGCACAGCAAATTTTTCCCAACCCTTCATTTTTATTATGTGTATGGCTTTTTAAATGTTTCTTTTAAGCAAAATTGAGGGTTTTTTCTTATCTTTGTCTTCTTTTTATTTTATTAAGTTGTTTAATCCTTCACATTTAAGGTTATGAGTTAGGCTTACATTTTCTTCCATTTCTCTCTAATATTGGGTTTTTCCAAATCAAGATTTTCTTCTTCTTCTCTATAAACATAATACTATATCTCTTCAATTATTTTAGCATAATCTATTTTTAAGGAAACCTTATTCTTATTGGCTCTCTTTTTCTTATCTTCAAGCCCTATTCTCTACTTCTCTATATACGCATTCCTCATTACCTCCCTTTCTTAATTTTAAGAGTGTTGCTTATTAGTTCTTTTTTCTTTCTTGTTCTTATCTAGCTAATTTAATTCTTCCTCTCTTTTTCCCCCTCAATTAAGTAGTCAATTAGAATTTTCCTTCCTCTCCTCCTCTTAAACCTGTTTTAAGTTTTTAAATTTTCATTTTATGCATCTTATTTTTAAAAAAGTTTCCTCTCATTCTCTTCATTATTTATCTTCCCTTTCTATTCTAGACTTTTGTTCTTTGATTAATGGTCCTAATACTTAGTCTTTATTCTCTATATTCCTCACGGCTCAAACTGGCACCATCAATTTAGTATACTTTATCATACTAATGGTTATTTCCTTATATATAGATAATACTTGACTATATATTGCCCTTATTGTATTTAATAGGCATTTCTCCGATTTTCCCACCAAAAATAAATGACAAGTGAAAACAGTTGTGAACATCCAATGGTGTCACAACTTTTATTTGTTTACCAGATCATAAAATGACACTGGCCCATTACCTTGACCTAGTCAAACCTCTACAAAAGCCTTATGATGATCTTCACCAGAGGAGCGGCTATTTAGGATGCATTTCCTTGCTACTCTGAGCAGGTGGTTTTCTCATTGTCGCATAAAGATTGACAGGAACATCAGTGATTGTTAGACAGTGACTTCCAGGGCATCTTCGAAGTTGCCTAAATAATAGGGAAAATGACATCTATTTATTTGCCTACCAGGGAATGATATTATGAAGTGCTAAAATCTGACTACTCATTCTCCTTTCTTATTTCTTTAAATGTCACTGGGTAATTATATAACACAGTAACACTGATGAGGCAGAAATCAGACTTGTATTCCAGCAAAACTATAGCTATTGCTTCCCATTTTAATCACAGGAAACTGAGGGGAAAAAAGGGGGGGCAGGTAGGCGGGGCAATGAATAGAACACTGGCCCTGAAGTCAGGAGGACCTGAGTTCAAATCCAGCCTCAGACCAAACACTTGACACTTACTAGCTGGGATCCTGGGCAAATCACTTAACCCCAATTGCCTGAAGAAAAAAAAAAAGACAGACTTCCAGCTGGTAATTTATAAAGACATCTTATGTTCCTCAAATGGCAATAAAATGTGTGTGGGTGTACATACAGGTGCTTTCATGGGTATACCTTTTATATCTTTTAAAAATCATTACAAAATAATTTCATTTAAACAGTAGGATATCTGGGGAAAGTTCCAAAACGAAGCATAATATTCCATATAATATGTTTATTCTCTTAACATTACCTCTAATGAGCAACAAAAAGCTACTAATTTGGTGACGATTAATTTTTGTAAATTTTCTTTTGTTCTGCCAACATTTAGAGTTAGCCCAGATATTATGATGACATTAACCAGAGTTCAAATTTGTACTGTAACACATATATAATAGTTGGAAGAATCAGTAAGTTTACCTGGTTGGTGGGGTCTCTTTCCTATACCATGCAGTACTAGAGCTCAGGCCAGGTTCAGGACCAATTGAAGAATCTCCTCCTTCCACTGGAAACCTCCTTGGCTGAGTACCAAACCGAAAAGGCATAATTCAGTGAAAACCTAAATTAGAAATTAAAGAAAAAAACAGATAGTGGCCTTTCATCTTTTTAAACTTTTATAATCAGTATTATAGGCATGATATAATCTATAACTCCTATAAATCTATAACTCTTATCTATAACTCTTCCTTAGTTGTCTGCATGTATTCTTATTTCAGTTCCAATGACAAGCAGTCACTACCATAGATGAAAGTAAACTCTCTTAAGACTAGCAAAACTTAAGTTCACATAAGCTATAATTCCATGTGTCTTTAAATGTCATTTTTAGATTACGCACATCATGACTCCTTGAAAATTGCTCCCTTTAATCTAAAGCTTAGCCTTCCCTTCAAGGATCAGCTTGCACAGCCTTCCCAAGTGCCTGATTGCTCCTTCCTCTGATTCCTATAACACTGTCTATGTCATGCATTTGTCACTTAACATATACTATACTTGTATTATTGCTTATCTTTTAATGTGTATATGTTGTTTGTCCAACTAAATTTAAGTCTCTACTCTTATTATATAATTCTTTGTATCCCCAGCACCTAATACATTTCCTAATAAATATTTCTTGTTGATGATGATGATAATGATGATGAACTGAAATTATTAAAGTTTAAGAGTTCAAAATTCTTAAAGTGCACAAAGATTTTAGGGAGGGTCTCCAGTTGCTACATACCCAGTGAAAAGTTGTATTTTTCCATTGCTTAAGAAAAGTTTTCCACCTAGGTAAGTTCAAGAATCCTGTCTTTTTTTTGATAAAACATGGTTTTGGCTAACTAAGCCAAAGATACATACACTTACCAAAATAAGTGAAGTTTGATTCCTGTAGAGGCTAAATAAATCAAATGCTTCTAATCTCCTTCCATAGGAAGATGGAATGTGCCAAAGGAAGGCTGGTCGAATGAGCCAGTGACACCCAGAAATTATGACATCAGAGAATTCTTTCACATAGTTTCCTACCTGCTAAAGAATAGAAGTTTTCATTCTGAATTCATGATGGGAGCATTAAACTGAAAAGATTTCTGTTTAGCTGAGAGAGCTAACCACCCTTAAAAATTTGGTACGGGTTTTGTTATCCTTTGCTTGCTTGCTTCTCATATACTGTGGAACAGGAAAAGGCCAAACTAAATTAAGTCTATTATCAGACATACAGGGCTATCATCTAAATCTGTGTTCCAGAACTGAATATTTTCAATTAGCACAAAAATACATATGTGACTATCCCAGTCTTCCTGTTTCTTTTCAGCACTTGCCCTGACTAATGGCCCAATCATAATCTCTATACCCCACTTCCCACATGCCTCCAATTCCCCAAACTCCTCACAATAAAATAGCCCCACATGAAATCAACAGCAAAACATAAAATTTCAACTTACATATGATAGATAAGAAGCGTGAATTTGGCACTTCTTCCAGTAAGCAATCACTAATTTTAAAGATATTTATTAAAGCCACCCCAACGTTTTCAGAATTAATCTGCTTTGCCCTTAAAAACAAATACCATATCTAAAGCAAACCATTTTTCAGCACAAGTGAGAACTAAACTTTCCAATGTATAATCCAAGTCAAAGATTATCTTAATCAAAATTTTTGCAGTAACTTTTTTGTGTTCTCGTTATTCTATTTTCATGTGACATGTTATAGGAAACTATCTTACTCAAGCTGCTCAGTCTTACCTCCACTTTCTTTTTACCTTAGTAGCTTGACATCTTCGAGTAAGTTAACCACAAGTCTGGTTGGCTGGGAAAAAAACCAATTGACTATAATAATAGTTCAGATGAGTTGAGATCACTGAAGGCCATTGTTAGCTAATGCATTGGCCCACCCTAAACATTAAGTCCTTATATGGATTGGCAATGTTTTAGTGGTTTGTATAGCTGTGAAATTATCCTTAAAAGTATAAAAACAGCTTTTTGTGGAAATAGGATATTATCTTATTTTCACTTTCTGCTTACTTCAACACTACACTGATCAATGCACTTTAGTAACTACCAGCAACAATTAAGCAATGTTTTGACATAATTATTTTCTATCTGATTTCAGAAATTTCAAAAGAAAGATACTATAAACAAGTATGAATAAATCATTACTCAAACTGTCTTTCCTGAACTCCCTGCAAGAGGCCTTAAAGAAGTCATTCTACTCCAACAAAGAACTGGAAATTCAGGCATTTGAGCACAGGCAAAGAAGGGAATAGAAATACAGCATGAATCCTGAACTCTAGTTCATCTACTCAAACCCTCTCATTTTACAGATGAGGAAACTGAGGCTATCTCCACAGTTTTTGCAGCATGCAATCCTTTTTAACCTAATTAGTCAATACATCAACCAACATGTATTTATTGTTACTATGTGCCAGGCACAGGACTGACTGCTGTAAAACATAAAGAATAAAATGATCCCTACCCACAAACAGCTTACATTCTACTGGGAGAAAACTGCTTATTCTCCCAAAACAAGTTGCAGAAAAGTGAAGTCTCTTTAATCTCTTCCAATCTCCTTTTTCATTTCAAACAAATGTGAAATATTGACGGCTGGATGCTGTGGGTCTTCCACAGGTGAAACAAAACAGGAAATCATCGGTAGCTATGTTTTATCTCCTAAATGAACACAATTTCATTTGGCTAAAAAAAAAATCTATAAAACTGATTCCTGTGAAAACAGTGACAAAATCAAAAGCCAAATACCAAAGTGCCAAAAAAATACCATAATGGCAACCTATTTTATGAGTCTGACAAAAAAAAAACCACCCCTTTTGTTATTGTTGTTACCTAGCATAATTAAAATGTAAATAAGGGATAAAAAATGGTGAGTCACTAGTCATCTTACAGAAGGCATAGGACTAAGATGAGGGCAGTCATTTCACAAGTATAGAGAGTTATTAGAGTTTTTGAGCAGCAGATAGTTAAAAACAGCTTGGGGCCAATATCACATCACTAAGTGTGTGGATTTTCTATAATTACAAGCTACGTAAAACATATTAATTAGGACACTGTATTATAACAAAAGGCTGATATACTTTTCCAGCATTAACGTAAAGAAACTGCAATAAGCCAAAAACAAAAACAAAAAACCCACAAAATTCTCCAGGAGGAAATGGTTAAAAGTTGATTTTTTTTTAAAAAAGGAAATTTTTTTAAAGTGGTTTGGGGGATATAAAAAGTGTGCGCATATATGTTTATGGATGTATTCCAGAGGGGTTTCTTGAAAATATTTTCAAATTCTGCACAATACAAAATCTCAGCAAGTCTTGCACTATGAGAAGAATTCAGTGAAATACAACACTGGTGGCATCTGTTGATTCACATTTAGCTTATACCTTATGGGTGAAGAGGAGGAAACTATGGCAAATAGGTGCACAACCATATCAACCACTTTGACAGCATGCTTTCTTTTCATTGTCTGTACGTATGTGCACTGGTAAGCCTGGCAAGGCTCTCTCTAACACCCACACTTCTGTTGCAGAAGGATATAAAGCAGAAATCTAGATTTTTTTTCTTACACCATGCACTTCTTGCCATCACCTAAATTTTAAGATTTTAATTCTTAACCAACTTGACAAAAAATATTCATGTAGAGTTCTAAACATTAGTATAGGTGCAGTTCTTGACTACTGGGCTTCAGATGACAAGTATGGAATAATAATACAACTCTACCCCATCGCTGACAGTATTCCTAAAAGTCCCCATTCAAGGTCACTGGATCTAATACCACAGAAAGGTTTGTCTAAATCACTTTTAGCATGGATTTTTCAAGATGACCATCATCATCATCATCATCCTATTTCATAGTTTTAAAAACACTTTCACATATATCATATTTCTCTTTACAATAACCCAGGAGGTAGGCTGGGAAAGTATTATCCGCATTTTACTGATGAGGAAACACTCTCAAAGAGGGTCAGTTTGTCCAAAGTCATACAATTTTAAGCGGTAAACAGAACTAAGAGGATTAGTTCTCAGTTTAGTGTTGCTGGGTTTTTCCACTCTATATTGCCTTGTGTTTTTGACAAATCTGTGATCGTTTTCATCCACTACTTAGGCGGAGAGTTCTGCCTTGGGCACTCCAAGGCTGTCATTGGTATAGAGAAATCTTGAATGAGGAAGCTCTCACTACCAAAACAGACCCAGCAATAAATCATTTACGGAGTGCTAGAAAATCAACAGATCATTCCTACCTAGAGGGATCAGAGGAGGTGGCATCCTATCTTAGATTAAACCCGAGCCCCCATATTGGGTTTATACCCATGAGGGGCAGCCGTCTCCACGTCAGGAATACCCCTACATGCCCAAATAAACACAGATCAAGACCCCCACCCCCCGTCCAAGGATTGGATTTAGCTTTTATCTCTGCGACCCTCTAGTCACCCTGCTTGCTGCCACCCACCCACCCCCAGATCCCAGGGCCTGCAGTTGGTCAGTCTGTTTCAACGTCCTTGTCGGTCGGGGCTGGCTAGCCCCGGGTGGGGACTGATAAAACTTTTTCAGGGAAAGGGGTGGCCCCGGCAGGAGAAGACGCCCCTCCCCGTCGCCCAAGGAGGGTTGAGACTGTGGACAAGGAGGAGCAGTTGACGGATGCTGTCAACCAAACCAATAATCTTGAATTACCCGCTAGTGCGGGCTCCGGAAACCTCAGACACTCCTACTTAGACGTTGAGTGCGCCCAGACTGAAAGCCAGGCGGGGGAACGCGTGCCTGATCGCTATGGCAACAGCTAGCACGCAGGCGCCCTCCAGCCGCTTTCCGTTGCTCCGCCCCCGCCCCCACCCCGGCTGACGTCACCGCGCGGCGCCAGACGCAGGCGCGAGCCGGAACCGGGAAAGAAACTAGAGATCATTTGCTGACTGTTGAACGGCCGCCCAGGTGACCGCGGGCCCCGGGATCGCGGCCGGCCGCGAACTGCGGTTTTGGCACGAGCCGCCGCGGCTGCAGGAGCAGCAGCATGGCCCAGTCTGTCGTAGTGCAAGGTGAGCTGCTTCGGGGGCTGAGCCGGACCCCCCAGCAAGGTCCCCGTATCCCCGGGGCGGGAGCCCCTGACTGGAACTGGACTCCTTCGCTTGCACTAATGCCCTGTTCTCTTTCTTTCTGTGCCCACCGTGGGGGCTTGCAGTCGGCCAGTGTGGGAACCAGGTTGGCCGCTGCTTCTGGGATCTGGCCCTGCGGGAGCATGCGGCTGTCAACAAGGTAGGGAGGGCACCACCCACTCCGCGGACACTGCCGCGTGACTCCCTATCCTCCCACCTCCTCCCCTCCCCCAGCGTCCTCCCACTCCCCATCTCGTTCTTGTCCCCTCCCCCATCTGCCTAACTTCTCCCCCATTCTCCTCTCCTCCGCACTTTGTACTTGTCCCTTCCCCCATCTTCCTAACTCCTCTCCTGATCTTTCTTCCCTCCCCCATTCTCCCGCTCCCCACCTTGTACCTATCCCTATCCCCCTCCCCCTCGTCTTATCCCATTTTTCACCCCATCCTCCCGTCCCCACCTTGTGCCCCTCCCTCATCTTCCTCCTCCCCTTATCCCCCCTCTTCCCCACCTCCTCTCCGCCATATTCTTATCCCCTACTCCACTTTCCTAACTCATCTCCACCCTCCTCCCTTTCCCCGCCTTGTTCCAGTCCCCTCCTCCATCTTCTTCCTCTTGTCTCCCTCCCAATCTTCTTACCCCATCTGTAAAATGAGAGGGCTGGGCTAGACTATGACCTCTGAGACCCTTCCAACTCTAGATCTCTGGTAAACCTAAAGTTAAGTAACTAACCCATAGGCACGTGGGGCAGCTAGGTGACACAGGAGTTGAGTACCGGGCCTGGCATCAGGAAAATTCATCTTCCTGGGTTCAAATCCAGCCTCAGACACTAGCTGTGTGACCCTGGGCAAGTCATTGTATACCCTGTTTGCCTCAGTTTCCTCATCTGTAAAATGAGCTGGAGAAGGAAATGGCGGCAAATGATTCTGATGTCTTTGCCAAGAAAAAGGTTGGATATGACTGAACAACAACATAATTGCATAGCTAGTGTCAGAGGGCAGATTAGAATCCAGGTTTCTTCTGACTTTGAATCCAGATCCATTTCCATTACACATCAGGGTCTGAAGTGGAGGAACTAAGTAGCATCTGTTTAAGATTTAGAGTGTCCACCATCAAATAAAAAAATATGTCTGATTATGTTAGAACAGGGATTCTTAACTTGGGGGTAGATTTCAAAGGATCTGTGAACTTGGATGGAAGAAAAAATTATATCTCTCTTGTAACTAACCTTTGGTTTCCATGTGATCATATGTATTTTATTTTACAGATTTAAAAAGATTATTTGAAGAAGGAATCCATAGGTTTCACCGCCATGTCAAAGGATTTGCAACACAAAAAAGATCAATAATCCTTGCTCTAGAAAGAAAAATTGCATGCATTTATTAGGTAGTATAGGAGGTAGCCAGTGTGGTACAGAGGGAAAGAACATTAAATTGAAATCAGATAGCCTGCTTTTTGGGTCCCACACTAGTTGTATGAGCTGTCTGGACCTCACTTTTCTAATCTATAAAATGTAGGTTGGACTGTGTGGCCTCTGAGATCCCCCTCAAGCTCTACATCTGTGATCTAAGGAACAAGTTGATACATAAAGCATAAATTGATGTGCCAAGCACAGGGGATACAGAGATCTGAACCGTGCCCTTCTTTCAAGGGATAGACGCAAAGCTATGATTTAGAAGACAAGGGAGAATGTGATAACAGAACCAGGTTTCCACACCACTTCCTTTTCTACATACTTTGCTAAGACTACCTCCCTACCTCCTCCCCCTCCACACCCCACATTCCCCATCTTGGGCTTGTGCTCTGGGATTGAGTGCTCTATTAAATGAACCTTCACTTTATCTTCCCTGCAATTAGGCCTTGACTTCTGGTCGTCCTCACACCATACTGCTTTCCCTCTGTCCCCTTTTTTCAGCTCCCCTTTATATGCTGCCTTCCCCCCTTAAGAATGTAAGCTCCTGCAGGCAAAATTTGTCTTACATGTTTATATTTGTATCCCCAGCACTTACCACAGTACCTGGCTCCTGATAAATATCCTATTTATCCATCTTTCTAAGTAACCTTTCCAGATAGAAAGAGATGAGAATTGGAGTGGGAAAAATCAGGGAAATCATGAGGGGGTGACATTTGAGTTGAGTCTTTGGAAGCTTGAGTTGGATTTCAACAGATCGAGACTGGGAAAGAACATTCTTATCATAGAGAGTGGTGTAAACTAAAGTAATCTGTACAAAGTGTAAATTCACTTACATAGTACATACTTGGTAAGTGTTGATTGTATCGTACTGAATGTCTACATTTAGTGCCCAAGATGAGAAAAATAAGGGAGGGACAGAAATAGAGAAGTTGATAGGAAAAGAATCCAAAAACTTAAGTGTCATTGAATCAAAGGCTGTGATCATCAATGTTAAATTTAAAGAAGTGGGATGATGATAATGATAGTAATAACAATACTTAACATTTACATAGAGCTTACTATGTGTCAGACATTGTGCTAAGTGCTTTACAATTATATCATTTGATCCTTACAACAACCCTGGCAAGTAGAAGCTATTATTATCCTCATTTTACAGATGAGGAAACTGAGGCAGACAGTGATTAAGTGACTTGCCCAGGGTCACACAACTAATAAGCATCTGAGGCAGGATTTGAACTCAGGTCTTCCTGACTTCAGTACCCTATCCACTGTGTCACCTAGGTGCCCAAGGATAGGAACTGGAATAAGATTATTAAATTTGGCAGTTAGGTCACTAGTAGCACTTCCTCTTTTTCTATCTGCACGTCATTTGGGCACAGGTGATACAGTTAACCAAAGCAGATTGAGTCTTCTGTTTTAGTTCCTCATGTTGCAATATATGTTTCTGAAGTCAGAAGAGAAAAACCTTCTCTCTGGCCCTTACTCCTTTAGGAAGGGAGTCAAGATCTTCTTTTGTGAATTTAGAAACGCTGATCTGAAATCTTTAAGTTGGAAAACAAGTGTGAATGTTTTGACTTTTTTTTTTCTTGAGAATTCAATCCCTATTACAAACTCTATTGTTGCCTAGTGATTGATTATCATTTAAAGCTTTGAAAGACTTCTGGGGTGGGATCATAGAACTTATAAAACAATTGCACTTACATGAATGTTTTTTTTTTAATTTTTAGAAAGGAATTTATGATGACTCACTGAAGAACTTCTTTAGAAATGTGGATACTAGGTAAGATGTATCTCACTTATTTCAAGTTCATCAGAATGTATGATGTGTCTGTTGGTATCTGTCCCTAGGTTGGGGTCGCAGCGTGGTTTATAGTACCTGAATTTAGTTCAAAAGATCTCAAAATCATATACTCTCTTAAGGAATTGAAAAGTAGTGCCTCCTGTAGTCATTGTGTGTGCCCTTCAGTACACTAATGTAGATCGGGGTGATTAAGCTTACAAAAGAGTACATGCTTTGTGGTTGGACCAAGAATTAAATAAAATATTTTTAAGACAAAAGGCTTCAGATGTACTAACCTCCATTTCTCCAACCCGTCCTACCCAATAGTTAAATTGTATACTTCTCTTGATAAAAGCTTGCAACCATAAAGGAAAATTAGCTACCCAGCTCTAACTTCTACCATGAGTAGTATGGAATACCTCCCACTTAAAGTGTGCCACAACAAAACCCAGAAATCAAGAATCTTGGGACCAGGGTAACCGTAGCTGAAGTGGCACGTGTTCTTGTCCAGTATTCAATAGCTTCAGTTCAGATATTTATTCAGCTTGAAGTGCATGCACACACACAAGAGCACTGTGTTCAGTTAGTCATAATTAATAAACATTTATTAAGCAAGTACTATATTCCAGGCACTTAGTAAGGGCCAGAGAAGAGTATCCAGAAAGTCCAAAAACAGTCCATTCTTATCAAGTAAGTCTTCCTGGAGAGCAGATCCCAAAAAACCCTGGACTGAAGAAGAGCTCTTCCCAGGGTGGCGTTGATTCATTGCAGACATGCTTTCTCGGTTAGACACCTGACCTGTGCCATCAGGCAGGCAATGTAACTCCTCTTCCCATTCCACACAGACAGTAGTATTTGCCAAGTCACAACTATCCTATGGTCCTGCTTTATTTTTAGTAATATAGTAAAATACCTAGAAAACATAATGGTCAAGAAAAAAGGGACTTGAGAGAAGTAAAATTTAAGATCAGTCCCCCAAATCATGCATTGCATGTACCTCTAAGAATTGAGTAAAACCAAAACTCTTTGTATGACAATAGCAAGATGTATCAGTCGCCAAAACTGCTTATATACTGGGACTTGGTGATTTCATTGCTAGAATTTCTTAAAATCTCATTAAAGGATCAACTTATACAAGAATATTTAGAGCAAAACCCTGGTGAGACACCTCACTTCTCAAGGTCTCAGACAAATAGAGACTGTAGCTTTTTAAGTTGCACACAAGTTGCTGATCTCCTTTGATGGAGAGAGTTTCTTTACCAAGAGTTTCCCCCTCCCTCCTCCCCATGAAATCTCGGTTTTGGACCAAAAATATTAAGACTAATATCCACAATTTTCCATGTTTCTCTATGCGTGCATGCATTTGCAGGATAATATATTAAATATATCATCTATATGCATAGATTTTAAGTAAGCATTTAGTTGAGATAAATTTTTTGTCCCACTTAATTTACTCATAATGATTTAACATTTCATATACCTTTACATTTATAAAGTTTAATGGATTATATTACAGTATTGTTTCCTCTTGCCTATTTTTACTCAGTAATCTTTTTTCCTTGTTTTTTTTTAATCTTTCAGAAGAAATGGTGATGGTGTAGATGTTTCCAAAGGAAAAATTTGCTCACTAAAAGCACGAGTAAGATATACATTAAGATTTTTACTTCATATATTTTAATGATAGTTATGCTGTTATAATTGTCACCCAAATTAAATTTTCTCTGTTCTAACTTAAATCAATAAATCACAGAAAGAATATTTATGAACACCCTGTTTGCATGAATGCCAGATGCTGTACCTTAAGGCATTTTAAAAAACTTTACTAATGGTACCAAATTTCCAGACAGATCAGATGATAAGAAAAGAGTTTGTATATATGTATATTTTAAGGGCCTGTTGCATGTAAAAATTTCTTTTCAAGGTAATTTTGTTGTGCTACCTGGTTACTTTTCCCCTTAAAAATATAGATGAAATACCATAATACTATGTAATAATAGTACTTTTTATTTTTTTGTGGAGGAAGGTTGAGTCCTGTGGTTTCCTTGGTATAGGTTTGTAACCTCTGGTATAGAAACTTCCTCTCCTAGTAGAATTGAATTCATGAGAGAACTAAGAGCATAATAACTTTCCTGTGGTCCCACAGCTAATATGTGTCAGGAGCAGAACTTAAACGCAGATTTTCCAGACTCCAAGGTCACTCTTTCTGTTCACTATTATTTTTTAATACTCTTTTACGAAATTCAAAGTACTTTCAAATAAATTATCTCATATGGTTCTCCCTACATCGCTGACTAGGACAGGTAATATTATTCCATTTTATAGATAAGAAAACTGAGACTCAGAGTTTCAGTAAGTTGTCTATCTGTGGTCACATAACTAAAATTCAATCCTCGTCCAGTACTCTTTGCCACTCTATACTACTGCCTAATAGTACCAGTATAATGAAAAAGATCACAAGGCGATAGTGATAGTATTTTATTCAGTACAGTGAAGTTTCATTACCACTAATGGTTCGTTATAGGCAGTGTTTTTGTTTTGTTTTCCCCAAGATTTCTTCTCCAACTCTTTTTTTTAGAGAAAAAGATATCAAACCCCTGATTTCATTACTCAGCACAAACTTACGGAAGAACCAGCATGGGATTAGATTCATTAGGAGCATCATCTGACAGATTTTAGTTGAAGTGTTGGCCTTAGGATATCCCTCTGTGCTAATTAGATTGCTTGTCTGTCAGCTCATTAAAAACCCACCAAGTGTATAATTGAGCATTTACCTTTCTCCCATCTTAAGGTACCTCTCCTATTTGCCATAGTCTCTCAGATATCACTGATTATGGTAATATCTGCCATTACCCAAGAAGTCATTCATCTGGACTGGGTGACTTGAGTTCACCTGGGGCAGGTAAATGCTCTCTTATACTATAACTACTTTTCTTGCTGTCCGCTTCCAATTAGTCGTTGTTCTGTCATTTCCAGAATGGCAAAAGCTAGTCTTGACTGAAAACACAGAAATGAAAAAGAATTCATCAGCTCTGCCCTTTCTGGAAGTTTTCTTCACTCCATCCACCTCAAGCAAAGGTTCAGTGCTACCTTTATTCTTCCTTTTGTCTCAATATACATTTAAGAAGCAAAAACAAAAATTTACTGTTCTTAGCTTCTCACACCAGGCTCAGTTTATTTTGAGATTTAATATTCCTGATGTCCTTTTTATGAAGACTATACCACACTCATATTCCTCTTCAGCTACCTTGACTTATTTCATTGTTTTTATATTTCTTTTTAAAAATCTAAATTAATTGGTGTCTTCTCCATTCATTCACATCTGTTTCTGCAAACAATTCCAATTTTTTTCTCTTCATTATAGTTGTTTCCTCTTTTGTCTTTAGAATTTCATTGTTGAGCACCCCCAGACCCTCAAATATGGAGTTTTTGGCCAGGATTCTACCAATTTTGTTTTAAGTTGTGGTTCAAAAATTCAAATCCAATTCACAGACACCACTTTTTTAGCCAACTATTGTTCACTTCCCAATTTTTTCTTCTGCATCCCTTGCCTTCAGCTAGCAACAGTAAGTAAAACACAATATATGGCCCTTTCATTTTCAGTTTCTTGCCCCAGATGTTGTTATCATTGGTAATGCTTTTCTGGTTCTTTTTGGCAATTTAATTTGTGTCCGCAGTAGTCACCAGAGTTGGATAGTTGTCATCATTATGAAGTCTTGAGAGTTTCTCTGTTTTGCCTCAAATATATAACTTGGGAAGACAATAAGAGACCTCCCTATTGTTATAGAATTGACACATAGCTTCCTCAGTATCCCTGAGTAGTATAAGAGTGTGTGTATATATCTATATCTATATCTATATCTATATCTATATATATATATGGAGAGAGAGAGAGAGAGAGAGAGAAAGAGAGAGAGAGTATATATAAGAGTAAGTAGCTCCTACTTACTCTTCTCTTCTTCCTCTGACCTTTACTGGATGATCATATCAAGTAGTTTCTATGACTCTATTCTATTATACAGTTCTTTGGAGGACAAATAGCCTCTTCCTCAGAATATCCCATTGTGTCTTCAGAAAGAACCTCAAGTCTGTTTTTAAGCCCTAATTGTATAGCTGACTCTTTTTTCTTCATTTTCTTCTTTCTATAACACTTTTTTTACTCTCCAGCCTCCTTTACAAGAGTCAGGTTTCTTCTGGTTTACCTCAAATCCCCTTTTTTCCTATTGAAACTTCACTTTTTTTTCCACTGGGAACACCTTATGCCTTAATAACATAGTGTGTAAAAATGCTTTCTTCAAATCCCTTCACCTTCTCCTGAACGAAGGTCATCCTGCACCTGGAACATGAAAAACAATCACTAGTTTGTAGAAGAATTGCAGGCATCACAGTCTCAGTACAAATTACTGTACAATGTCCTTGACTTTCTGTAATTATTGAGATTTTTAACCTTGTTCTTCTGGACTACATATGGGTGGTTAAAATTTTTACTGTCTTTCATCTCTTCTTAACAACTTCACAACAACTCACCAACCACACCCACCTTCCCTTCATTCTTAGACCCAGCTGTTTTACCAATTTGCCCTGCCAACGATTTGTTCCTTTACTTTATCTTCTTGGTTTTTTCCACTAACTTTGCCTTGAATCTACCTCTTCTATTTCTACCCTTAATCCTTTTATATTCCTTAATTGCCTTGATCTTGCTTCTTATATACCCCAGAAGTAGTGTCTAAACTGGGAGATTTTTCTTCAAATTATGCTCAATTTATCCCACTTTTGCCAAATTTGAGTCTAACAAATTTACCCTTAATCTAACTTATATGTACATTCATAGACAGAGTGGTATAGAGAAAGAGGGCAGAATTTGGAGTCACAGAACCCAAGTTTGAATCCTAGCTCTGACCTTTCCTGATTGTGTGACTGACATTTTGGCAAGATACATATCTTTACATCTTTGAACTAGGAGAGCTCCTCTTTCCAGAGAGCTTTTTTGTTTAATCTCACTGACTGTTAACATCTTTATTTTGTCCATTTAGAGAGAGTATTGTATAGTGGAAAGAGTGCTGGACTTAGTCAAGAGACAGGAATTTCAACTCTGCCTCAGAGTTGGTGACTGGGCAAGTCAACTTCTCTTGAGATTTCAATTTCATTATCTGTAAAATGTGGATAATACTTATACTAACTACCTTCACAAAGTTGTGAGGAAAGTAAACCTTTAAAGCACTGTAGAGATATAAGTTACTACTACTGCTTATGTAAATAGTTTATACTACTATATGCCAATTCATACATATTTGTATGTTTTGCAAACGTTATTAAATTGTTTTGTGTATGTGTCTCTGTGTGCATGTGAGTATGCTGCTGCTGCTTCCAAAGCCCTATTTATCATATAGTTCCTCACGGTCTGCTTTTTTTTAAATCAATCAGCACGTATTTACTAAGCTCCTACTATGTGCTAGATACTGTGCTAATAATCTCCTACTAGAGGGATTTGGACACAGTAGATACTCTGGGTGGGCCAGTTTTCTAACTCTAATCAAAAAATGATAGATATCTCTTCAGCCAAACCTGCCCCTTCTTCTGCCTTTACTGTTGTTTTCATGGTACTCCCATTCAGTCAACCATATTTGAAATTTTGGTGTTATCTTTTACTGTTTCCTCTCACCTCACATCCAATTAGTGACCAAGTCCAGTTGTTTTCACCGCTGTACAAGATAGCCTCTCACCTCTGTCCTGTTTCCTCTCTATTCCAACTGTTACCATTCAGGTATAAGTACCCATTTCTCCCTAGCATGTAATGTTTCATTAATTACCTCATGTGTCTCTAACTACATTGTAGCCATAGGCTGTCTCTTCTTTAATCTCTCCTTCCCACAACTGCCAGGCAGTTTTCTTCTGTATAAGTCTAGTTATATGTTACTCAGAAGTCTCCAGTGACTTCATATTGTGTATCAAATACAGCCCATACTCCTGTGTGGCATTCAAGACTCTGCACAATACCTTTCTATCTTTATTTCATACCAGTACCTTCTAGATCAGGGCTGGGGAACCTGTGGCCTTGGGGCCGCATGTGGCCTTCTAGGTCCTGAGGTGTGGCCGTTTGACTGAGTCCAAGTTTTACAGAACAAATCCTTTTATTAACGGGATTTGTTCTGTGAAGTTTGGATTCAATCAGAGGGCTGCACTTGAAGACCTAGAGGGCCACATGTGGCCTCAAGGCCGCAGGTTCCCCAGCCCTGATCTAGGTACTCAACTGTGTTATGTCCTCTTGCCTAGAATGCCCTCTGACTTCATACTTCGTCTAACTATCAAATGCCAACTCCCTCACATTCTGCTGTCTCCCACTCCAAGTCAGTTATGATCTTTCCTTACACCTCTCTTTACTATTTGGTATGTATTGTTTTGTTTCATATTATTTTTGTCCTTGTCATATTTGCCTGCCGGAGACTAAATCTTATGTAAACTTCAAATCTCACCCAACATTTTAGCTTTTATACACCATATAAAATAGAGGATACTTAATGCATGTTTTTGAATTATGTTTTTGAATCTTGTCTCACTAACAGAAAAAAAAGCTTATCCACATAAATCATTTCCTTCACAGCATATAAACAAAAGGGTTAACAGCTTTGTAATTGCCATGGAGTCAGTTGAGGATGAGTTTAAAATATTAAGTTTACAAAAAAGATGTGCATTTCTTTGTTATTTATAATAAGGCCTGGCCTATTTTCGTAAAGGTCAGTGTATCTTCTAGTACCACAGGAGGTTATAGGGAAATAAAATGTGAGTGTATGTTGAGTTTGTTTCCTTTTTTTGGAATAGGATAAAGTAGAGTACCTGGTGGAATCCACTTCTTAAATGGATTTTGCCCTTTAATAAAACGGTAGAACATTTCCTTTTAAAATGGATTTCTGAAACACATTTTTCATAAAGGAACATTTGGATGAAATCTGGGGGGAAAAATCAAGTTTCAGCTTACATGTGTTGTTGGATTCATTAGATAATGAATTTAAAGTAAAATATGTTAATTAAATTTTAATTCTTTTTTCTTAGGCGCTCTTGATTGATATGGAGGAAGGAGTAGTGAATGAAATCCTTCAGGGACCATTGAAAGATATATTTGATAGCAAGCAACTCATCACAAATGTTTCTGGCTCAGGGAATAATTGGTGAGAATATGCAAAACATAGCAGCTGAAACTGGAACAAATAGCTTTCTTTCTAGTAGATGCTATTATTGCATGTAAAGCAGATACATTAAAGGAGCTGTTAGCATGAAAGGTCACTCCCATACTTCTTACTATATCTTGCTTTCTATTAGCCTTTCAGTTCCCAGCCTTTGTCTTTGACCCATTTCCTTTTGATGTATGAAATACCTAGTTCTTACAACTACATAGGTTGCCTTGTATTATTGATGCCCTCTAATTTTTTTTAACCCTTTTGAGTACAGAAGAGAGATAGGGAAAAAAATTCCAAGTTATTTTGCAGCTGAGTATTTTTAAGTATGTTATATCTAAAGAATTAGTAGAAAAATATGTTAGAAAATAAATCTCTAATAATGAGATTTTTAGATCTACTTGACCACTTCTGTATTTGAACTTTAAGGCATTTACTAATGCCCTTCTATGATCTGGGGGCTTAAATTCTCAGATTTAGTTCTTTTATCTAACTGCTTAAAGGAATTGATGCAAAAAAAAAAAGAGGGACAACAACTACTAATATTTATTTAGCTTTTTGCAAATTAAGAAGTACTTTCCTCACAGCAGCTGTGAAGTAGGTGGTACAAGATTTGTTCCTCTTATTTTACATATAGGAAAACTGAGGCTTAGAGAGGTTAAGACTTATCCAAAGTCACAATGCTGGTATGTTGCAGAGCCAACCAGATCTAGCCTTAGAGCTAGCCAGAATGGCATCTTAGAATTAGTTATTAACTTATATTTAATATATTCCCATTATATTTGATGGAATAGAAATTCTACAGTGTGAATTTATTACAATATTATTAGAAAACCCACATTTGTAATATTTTCACTTTTTGCAAAATAATTTTTTCACTAGTAACAATCAACTATCATTGATTTGCGCCTTCACATTTTAAACTTTCATAGGTTTGTTATTTTTAAAACAATTTATTATGTGATATTTTCTTATGTTTCTCTCAGTTTTTTAATAATGTAATATCATTCATTTTTGTGTTTGCATGAAGAACAAAATTCTAAGAAAATACAATCTGTGTTCTTACTGATGTAGGTATTCCTTCCCATAGTACAAATTATAACCTTTCTATCTATACTTTCTCATCTTGTGTGTCTCTTGTTCATGTTTTCTCATAAATTTATCAATGGGGGAGGTAGGCTGTCTATCCAGAATACTGCAGGTATTCCTTTAGGTCTTTTGACATTTTATGAATACAAATGAAATTCACTGCCTCTTTGGACTGTCTTTGTCATGTATTCTGTGCTGATTTTGTTGCACAGTTCTTTGATGATTTTGTAGCCACCTATCCAGACTCACCATGTGTTTTCTCCAGTGTCCTTTGATTAACTTTAAATCTTCATATACTGTGATAATCACATGATTCACGGCCATATAATATCCCTGGAAGAGGAAGTTGGTGCTAAAAAGATGGTTCTTTGTTCCAGATTGAAGTTTGAGATCATTTTAAAACAATAATACTTCACAATTTCCCAAATGTAATCTAACTTTTTCTTTTACTTCTTTTTAGTTCAAGGACCAGTTCATTTCCATTTTCAGTGTCTGCCCAAAACATATATATATACTAGTGGACCAGCTCTGTACAGTCCATCCAACTGCATATTATAGTCTGGACATTTTTCATCTATTTTTTCCTCCCGTGTGGGTGGTTAGATCAATTTCTTGAGTAATCATGGACCTTATTTAGGAGCCTCTATAATTTCTTTATCTTTGATGCTATTTCAGCAAATCGTTGCCATAAGAGCATTTGAAGGACCTCAGCATTTAAGGAGTCCTTTCTCCATTTGTATTCTTTGCTGGGCATCTTTTATAATATTTACAAAGACTTCTCCATATTTTATGCCCTGCTTCATTTATTAATAATCAAAGGGTCATCAAAGTTCTTCATTGTTGTATTTTTAAAGTAGTGTTACATGATTTTCGGATATGCTTGGGAGACATTTGTTAGAGAAGAGCCTTTAAGGCATCATTTTACTCTGCCAAAACCAAATGCTTCTGTAAAATCAACAAACAGCTAAGCCTAGTGGGATCTTGTATTCTCTGAACCTTTCTGTCAACAGCATAAGTATGGTGATGTGGTCTGCTAAAGGGTAGCCTTTGCAAAAGCCTGACTAGTCATTTCTCATACCTTCATCAAAGATGTCTTCAATGTATATGTAGATTATTTCATATAAATCTTCTCATAAAAATTTGGTAGGAATAGAAAAGTAGGCATGTGCATTGGTACTTGGTATTTTCTCAGTCATCTTTCTTGAGTAGTTGTATCCATGATTTTTCTAAGCATTTCCCTATTTTAGATATCTTAAAGAGTAAAGCCCTCAAAATCATCACCTCCAGCAAAGATCTCCTCAGAATATGTTTAGTCATCTCTTCTTCTTGACTTTGTTTTCTTTAGTGCCATTTCTTTAGCTCACTGGGGACTGTGACATTAGAATAAAAATGCAGTGGCTTTGATTTCAGTGATGAACAAAATAGTTTGTGCTAAAAGTTTTGACAGATCTCTTTACATTTTTTTGTCTGTTCATCATTCTTCCTTTTCCATCCTTAAATATCTTTTGGATTATTTAGCTTGATTGGTTGTCTTACCAAGCTTTCTATAAATGTGTTTTCCCTCCCTCTTTTTGCTGTTTCCAGAGACAGTACTGCTCATAATCCTTTTACTGGTCACCTTTGTGATGTTTGGTGATCTTTCTCTCAGAGGTTATATGTCTTAGGGAGCACAAATGGACAAAGATTTGGACCTAGAAAAGACTTGATTACCTTCAGGAAATTGCAACGTTCCTTGAATGAACTCAGGTTTCTTCCAGATTCAAATCCATTTTTTTTAACTATTTTTTTTAACTCTTCTACCAGTCTTATATGGCTATGGGACATTAAACTCAGCAGACTCCAAAGAATTGAAAAGTAGTTATGATTAGGCTGTAACATACAACTATTGAGGAGCTTCAAGGAAGAATAGGAGTGAAAGATGTCAGAGAAATATATGCTGGAAGGGGAATATGGACTGGTCACATGTTGAGGACAAGCAATGACAGGTAGACAAACAGTTAAAGAAGGCTTCCACCTCAGTCATTGTATACCTCCTTCTCCCTCCCCAGCACCCAGAGCAATAACATTACAGATCCATTTGTCTTTTGGATTCATTTATATTAAGAATGTCAAGATAGATATGCAATGTCTTGGTTATTGGACAATGATTTCATATTAAGGTGACAGTTTAGTTAATATTTATAAATGGCCTAAAGCTTATGTGATTCTTAGCAGCCTCTGCCTCTTTTTCTGTCATTGTCACTGCAGAGGTGAGAGTGAACCAGCTAAGTCCAATGACCATTTTGTATTTTTCTTCCTGAGTTGTCATGTCCAAAGAATTCATCTAGTGGCCAGACTAATGGTGATGAACTTGGGAGAGCAGATGCAGTGTATCACTAGGACCGTACCTTTCTAGTACAATAGGATCCACTAGGATTGGTATTCCTCTGGCATAACTTTCCAAAACCTGGGATCACCTCCATATGGCAAATGAGGCCTTGAATTTAGACACCAGATACCACCACTTTTTAGGGTAGCTTAATGTAAATCAGTAGCCTTAATAAGGAAGCCAAAAGAGCCTACACATAGACTCAATCAGGAAAGGACAATGAAGAAAATCCTACAATCTTTTGCTTACAAGAAACACATGTAAAAAGCAAAGGTGTGACTAGAGTCAACTATAGAGATGAACAAAATTTGCTGTTTCAGTTGGATCTAACAAAGAGATGCAATCTGCTTTCAGACAAAGTAGAAATAAAAATTCACAACATAAACAGTTAAAGATAAATAAGAAACCAATGTCAGTATTAAACTCTAAATACATAGCATCTAAATTCATAAAGGAAAAATTAACTGAATTGAAAAAAATATAAATAGTAATACAACAACAGTTTTTAACTTTAATTTATAAAAAATTTTAATTTATAAAAAATTTTAATTTCAATTTTCCTGTATCAGAGTTGGCCATATCTAACAGATAGATAAATAAAAGGGAAAATAGAGAATTGAACAAATTGTTAGAAAATTAGAGGTAAAAGGTTTATAGTGTCTTCTAAATGAGACCACTAAAGAACATGCCTATTTTTTGGCACCATATGGCATTTCAATAAAAATACATCATTTATTAAGGCACAGAGAAATTAAAAATAAATGTTAAAGGGCAAAAATACTAAACACATCCTTTACAGGCATCATGCAATAAAAATGATAATTAGTTCAAGGAGTACAAGCGAAAGACACAAACCTTCAACAGAGGCTTAGTAATGAAATCCTAAATGAATGGGTCAAAAAACAAATCATAGAGACAGTAATTATGTGAATAATATGATGAGACAACATGCTAAAATTTCTAGGATGCTATAGCAGTCCTCAGAAAAAAAAATAATGTACATAAAAACATATATTAGCAAACTAGAAAAAGAGGATTACCTAATTGAATATTCATTTTAAAACATTTGGATAAGTACAAAGAGGAAATTTTGAAGATTAGAGAAGAAATTGTTAAATTAGAAACCAAAAGGACCATAGAGCTAATAGAACCAAAAGCTAGTTCTTTGAAATTATTGAAATGGTTAATGCAGAAATTTGTTCTGCATGACTTCATATGTATAGTGGGTATTGTATTTCTTGCCTTCATGGTGGGGGAGGAGGTAGAGAGAGATAAAGAATTTGGAACCTAAAATAAAATTGAATTTGAAAGACTAACAACATTGGTAAACCTTTAGCCAACCTGATTAAAAAGAAGAGGGCAGGAAATCAAATCAACAAAATAATTGAAAAAGGTAAAATCAGAAGAAATTAAAAACAAAAGTTAAACAATTTTGAGAATCTGATTACATGCCAACAAAATTAAAAAGCACACCAAAAAAAATTGTGAATTATTTTCAAAAACAAGATACTCAAACTTACAGAACACCAAATAGTGATCTTAAATTACCCAATTTCAGAAAAGGACATAGAACTAGAACTATAAAGGAACCACCAAAGAGAAAAATCTCTGGTCCAGATGGACATATAGCAGAATCAGAATTTTAAAAGTTATTACCTACATTATATAATTCTCAGAAATTGAGAAAGATAATGTTCCTACTTTATGAAAATATTTTTCATGAAACAAATATAGTCCTAATACTGTCCTACACCAAAGAAGAATAAAGAGGAAAAATAGATTATAGACCAACATCATTAATGAATATCTTATTCAAAATTTTTTAAATCTCAGAGAAAAGATAAATTTAGAAAAGTACAGTCCCTTGTCCATTGATGAGTATGCCCTTGAGGATATTTTGGAATTTATGTAGTATAATGCTGATTAAACGTTCCATGTTGATGTTACATAGTATTAAACTATGAAGTAAGTTTATGTTAAAATAAAGACAGCATGTAGTATATTAGAACTAGCACTGTGTTTGAACTCAGAAGGCTTAGATTCAAGTCCAGGATCTGCTGCTTTCCCTGTATGACCTCATAACCTCTCTGGACCTCATTTTCCTCTTCTGGAAAGAGAGGGGTTTAGACTATAAGATCTGTTAACATCTTTTCCAGTGCTAAGCCCTGCCTGTGATGCTGTGAACTTAATTCAGGATTATGAAACCACAGATTGGCATTTGTGCCTTCAGAAAAAGAATTCACATTATTTTATACTTTCTTGTATACCTCAGAAAAGGAAAAATCAGGAGGTATTAAGTGCAAATGGTTTTGTTTGTTTACTTTTGATTTGATGTGTTGTGTTTGTTTTGTTTTTAGGGCAGTGGGTTACAAAGTTTTTGGTTCTCAGTACCAGGATCAGATTGTGGAGAAACTCAGACAGACAGCAGAGCACTGTGACTGTTTGCAGTGTTTCTTCATAATTCATTCCATGGGAGGAGGTAAATCTACTTACTCATTTGCCCAACTGTTAAATTAGAACTGACTCTACAGTTTTACATAAATTCAATTTTAGAACCTATAGTTGATATGTGTAGTATTATTTAATTAATTATGCATGCCTGAATTGGATTGCTATCTTTTTGAGATTTGTGAAAATTTAGCACTTATTTACCTGTAATCTGTTTTTATATTGATGTTTTTAAAATTAATATAAATACAATCTAAGAGTTTTATTCTACCATTTAAAAACAAAATTGCTTACTCTTAGGAAAACTTCATAGTATTTACAGACAAAAAAATTGCTCAAGTTTTTTGCTACTTTGAACTTATAGTGTAGGCCATCTATAGATGAGCAATGGGAGCCTAGAGCATTTATTCACACAATTTGTAACAAAAATTGTACGGCCTTTTCAGCATCTCCTAACTTTTCCTTAGATATAATTCTCAGAATTACCACCAATAGAAAAAATATATAATAGACACTCTTACATTCAGCACCTTTAAATCATTCCTTAGCCTAATAAGTTAAAAGTGACCTGGAAATGAATAAGTTACTGAATTTGAGAAAACTTGTGCACAGGAACTGAATTTTTACCCATCCATTTATGAAATGGAAGACGTTAGAATCTATTGAAATCTAAAACAGAGTTGACCAGTTTTGGAAACAGAAAATCGTCATGCTTAATGCTAATATGTGTATTGTATGAATACACACATATTCAAAATGCTACCATGGCATTAAAGATGCATTTGATATTTTACTATTTTTGTAGATTGTCATGAACAATAAATTTGGTAGCAAGTTTTCATTGTGCCATCATAACACAGCTTCTGTTTTGAATGACTTTTACATAAACAGTTTGATTTACATTTGGTGATAGCTTCTTAAGAGATAGTTTGTACAGCTTCAGTCTTTTAGAATCATTTTCCCAGTCTTTTAGAATCATTGAAAATATTTTCTAACTACATATATAATGCATTTGTATTAACTAGCTGAATTGAAAATCACCACAGATGTAAGCACATTTTTAAACAGTACTATTTAGACTTTGTTTTTTAAGCCACAAGAACTTTTCCTAATTGATGCATAAATTCTAGTATAACATTTTACTTTTATATGTTTTTAAAGTTATATTCAGTTTTTAACAACAAAATTAAATTTTTACTTAATTGAATGTCATCACTAAGATATATGCACTACACCAATTATTATGACAGCAAATAGATAAAACAACCATTTGATTATCACATTTTTTCACTTTTCTATCATTCGTTTTGTCCTCGTAACAACACAATTGTTACCAACAATGTCTAGAAAAGCCTCTATTCATAACAAGATGTTATGTAGCCAAATAGTTATATTATAAACCTCACTGCCCGCTCTTTATTTCCTAATGTAAAATGGTATAAATGTATTGTCATAGAAATATTTTTAGAGCAGAATAAAAGTATCTACACATATGGATAGATATATAAATAGTAAAAAATAGAATGTAACCAAAATGTTTCAAATTTTTATACTATTTTATGTGTTCTTCAATTGTCATTCTTAGGGACAGGTTCTGGTCTTGGCACATTTATTTTAAATGTGCTTGAGGATGAATTTCCAGAAGTATACAGATTTGTGACTTCAGTTTTTCCATCTGGTGAGGATGATGTCATTACTTCACCATATAATAGTGTTTTGGCAATGAAGGAACTTAATGAGCATGCAGACTGTGTGTTGCCCATCGAAAATGAAGTAAGAAACACTGTTGATATTTGATCTTACAAATTTTTCAGCTGCCAAGTTGTAAACTAAACACATTGTTATTGAGATATAGACTGTCTCCTATTTTAATTTATTTTCTGATTCAAGAGACCTATTTTCCCCATCCTCTCTCAATTTACTATTTACTATTAATATGCATTGAATATTTACTTTCTCTTGATTTTTTTCCTCAAAAGTCTTTATTTGACATCGTTAGTAAAATTAATCAGATGGTAACATCTGGAAAGCCAGGAACAACTGTGAAACCAGAGAGTCTGGTAACTTTAAATGAAGGTGGTATTAAAAAAAAGCTGCAAGAAAAGCCATTTGATACAATGAATAATATTGTAGGAAATTTGCTGCTCAACTTAACAAGGTAATTTTTTTTGCATATTCATTGGAAAAATGTTAGCTAGCATTATTAAGGGAATTTACAAACTCAACATAGTTCGTGGACACTTACATTTTTTGTACTTAGTTATTTACTACTAGTTATTTTGCAAATAACTTATTTACTATTTAGTTTGTAGTAAATTTTATGAACCTGAATTTTTTCAGGTCTTCTAATAGCTGACTAAAAATTCAAATCCTAAATGTTTAGACCTTGGTATACATTCACCAGCTCATATATTAGTAGATCCCGTTTCATAAAGAAAAGTAAAAGCCAGATCACTTATCTAGTATGAAATAAAGAACTTAGAGGAAAACCAAAGCTTAAATAAAACAAGAAAACTTGATATGTACCCAGGTAGACTAAAGGGATTTCGTTAAGCATTCTAGTTGTAATTAAGATCTTAGTAGGTGGATTTTTGTGTGACTAACTTAAGAGACTGCTGATAGGGGCAGCTAGGTGGCGCAGTGGATAGAGCACCGGCCCTACAGTCAGGAGTACCTGAATTCAAATCCAGCCTCAGACACATAACACTTACTAGCTGTGTGACCCTGGGCAAGTCACTTAACCCCATTGTCTAGCCCAAAAAAGGAAAAACAAAAGTATTAAAAAAAAAAGAGACTGCTGATGCATTTTAAACCAGATTTCTTTAAATACATAGAAAAACCAAGGTGACTTAAAGGTTTTTAACTATTAAAATAATCCAGAGGTTGAAATGGTAAAATTGTTAGGTATGTGTATGATCTTTAAATTACCATCATATGTGGGATTTCACAAGAAGTACTGTTGAATAGTGGATAGAAAACGAAACTTGGAGTCTGGAAGACCAAGATTAAGGTTCTGCCTTTGACACATACGAGCTGCCTTACTGTGGGCAAATCACTTAATTTCTCAGTGACCATGAAACCCTTTTTTCAAGACTGAATTAAAAAAAGATCCTGATTGACATTGATGAATAGAGTTTCCATATTTATACTGATGAAATCATGGATCTAGATCCCTACTCCTGGGTCTCCAACAGAAAAAAAAAATAGATTTCACAGTGCCAAAATCTAATGGCAAAGAAACAGAAAGTCTCATCAGCCATGTACAGATAATGAAATAATACATGCAAGGAACTTTCTAAACCTGATAGTGCTATGTAAATGTCAGCTGTTGTAATGGTTTGAAAAAGTATTCACTAAGTGAAAGGCAGTAGATTTTTAAATTTGTATGTAATTTAAAAATCAAATGTTTTCTGATTGTTATAATATTCATATTTCAGTTCTGCCAGATTTGAAGGTTCTCTTAATATGGATCTTAATGAAATTACTATGAATTTAGTTCCCTTTCCTCAACTCCATTATCTTGTTTCAAGTCTCACACCTTTGTGTACATTGGCAGATGTAAACATTCCTCCTCGAAGGTAAGACATACCAACATATAATTTCTAGAGATCTTGTCTTATAAAACAGTCATTTTAAGATACACTTGAGAAAATGTGAATACTAGTTTTTATTAAAATGGATTTCCCTTTAGTTTATGTGTTAACTTATTTGTGTAAGATTTGAAAAAAATCCAATTGAAAATGTACATTTTTACTACAAGTTTGTGCATGTAAGTAGGATGTCAGCTTTTAAAATGTAAAAATTACAGACCTATATTTGTATTGTTCTTAAACTCGTGTATGTTAAATATTTAATGATGGCAAAGCATGCAGTTTTTAATGAAAAAAATGTGAGGAAAATTTATCACATCATACAGATTTAGAATTGGATGTGATCTACCAATGATCATCATTTCTGAAATGTCCAATCCATTCCTGAAAAAGAATCCCCAGTGTAATATATCTAACAAATAGTAACCTTACTTTTGCTTATGAACCTCCGAGGAAGAATCTACTACTTTTTAAGGCAACATTCCACTTTTAAATAGTTCTAATTAATTATTAGGAAGTTTTTTTCTTACACAAAACTGAATTTTCCTCTTTGTAACTTTCATCCATTACATCTGTAGCCTCTTGGGCTAGTTAGAGTAATTCTTGGAGGCAATATGGTAGAGTGAAAGAGTTTGGCTTTGGAATTTAGAAGACTTCGGTTCAAATTTTGCCTGTGGGAATGGGCAAGTCACTTAACTTCACTGGGATATGGTTTCCTTTTCTTTAATGTGGGGATTAGACTAGATGATCTATCTGTAAGGTTCCTTCCTGCCATGAAATCTATGATCCTAAGAGGGTACTCCTTTTTCCATAAGACAGCTTTTCAAATACTTGATCACAGCTATTTGTTTGTCTACCCTCACCCAGGGTGTTCCCTTCTTCAAACTAGACATGCCCTGTTCAATCAACTGCTCCTTATATGACATAAACCTGAGGCTTTTGACAATTCTGATTCTATGACCTACCCTTTACATTGTGTTAGGTTTCATCTTTTTAGATTTAACCCAATATTTATCGGACTCTTTTTGGATCCTGAGTGTCATCCATTTTAGTAGCTATCCTTCCTAGCTTTATGCTATCTGCAGCTTCAATAAGAATGCCATTTATGCCGTAATCCAAGTGATTGATAATAATGTTAGATAGCACAAGCCCAAGAACAGCTCTCTAGGGAACTCTGCTTCCAGGTTGACATTGAACACTAATGACCTCTTTTTCAGTCCAACCCTTCAAACACATCTGAATTGATTGAATTGTATTATCTAGTCCACATCTCTGTTTTCCCACAAAAACAGCATGTACTACTCTATTCAATTGCTTTGCTAAAATCTAGGTAATCTTTATATGTAAACATATGCCTGATCTACTAATTTACCTTGTCAAAAAATAAATAAGATTATGTTGGTGTGGCCTGTTCTGAGTTTTTGCCAACTCTTTATGTTCACTTCTTTTTCTACATCTTCACTAACCATTTCTTTAATAATATATTCAAATTTGACCAGGAATAGAAGTCAAGCTTATTTGCCTGTACTTTGCAGATTGCATTTCCTTTCCCCTCGTCCGTGTAAAAAAATCAAGATACCATTTTCCTTTCCGTAATGACCCCTTTACTCAAGGAGCCTCTGTACTGCTGGAGGGACAGAACACATGCACAAATAAGCCAATAGAAGGTAATTTGAGGAAGGGAAGAGCACTAGCAACTGGGGAGATCAGGCAAATGTCAATGTAAGAAGTAAAACTTGGGCTAATCTTTGAAGAGAGCAGAGATGAGGAAGGAATGTGTTGTCCAGGTACAGGTGCAAGCTTACAAAAAGGTACAGTAGAGGCAGATGGGACATCAAAGTTAGGGAACAGCTAACAGTTTGGCTAAAATAAGGCATGTGTAAAGGTGAAAAACATGAAATCTGCACAGAGAGGATGGAACCAGATTATAAAGGACCTTAAATCACCAGACTGAAGTTTTTATCTCAGAGGCAATGGGAAACCACTCAAAGGTTTTTGAGCATAGCAGTGACATGGTCAGGCCTGTACCTTCAGAGGATAAGTGAATGAACAGTGAAGGTGTAGTTCTGCAGTGTAGAGATGAGGGAGCTCACGGCAAGATTGTGTTTTCTCAGGTAGGAAGCAAGGTTGTCTGCTAATGGGTGGGAGAGGCTTGGGAGCTACAAGGGAGAAAAGAGGATTCCAGTAGTATAGAAGGAAGTACAGTAGAATCAGGGATCCATAAAAGGATTGCCATGCAACAGTGAGGGACTAGTGGAGATTATATAACATGAAATTCTAGTGAATGCAGTCAGCATAGTTTAGTGACTTCTTCTGACAACATTCAGCATTATGGAATTAGGATCAGAAAAGGCATATGGTTAGGGTGTCCAGGATAGAGAATTGGCAGGGTATGGATGGTAGAAAAACAAAGGGCAAAGGGGTCAAGGTTGGAGGACATTGTATAATTGAATCATAAGTTAATTATTTACCAATGCAACCCCACACCCCAAACCTGAACTATATACTGCTCCCCAATTAGTGCGAGTTCCTTGAGAGCAGGTGCTGGCCTCACTCTTCTGTATCCCCAACAGTTAGCACAGTGTTTGGTACCTACTGAATGCTTAAGAAATGCTTTTACATTTGTTTTTTAAATCATTTTCATTTAGTTAACTATAGTGAGCAGAAGGAAGACAAAGTGAGAGCAGGAATGATGAAATAGGTGAACAAGGAGAGATGGACTAGGTCTAGAGATTGCAACGAGGATGAATAGTTCTAAGAGGAGTGAAACAGAGAGATGAAAGGATAACAATGTAATCCAAAGAGGAATTTCAGAATTCATGATTAGAAAGGTGGCACACTTTCAGATGATGACGAGGCCTACATTTGTGAACTATGCCTGTTAGTGACTAATGCATAATAAGGAAATAAATCAGCAGACATTTATTAATGTCTGTGCCATCTCAGGAACTCATGTAGGTGCTAGGGATACAAATAATAATGAATAAAATAATCTGTGCACCACAGGGCATTTACATTATAACAGGAAAACAAGTATGTGTTTGTGTGTGTACAATGTATCTGTATGGATGTGTGTATCCAGAATAAATATAAGAGTAGTAACTGCAAAGTAGTTTGAGAGGAAGGACAGACCCTAGGAGTTGTGAGGAATCAGGAAGGACTTCACATAGAAGGTACTACTTGATCTTCGTCTTGAATATAGCTGGCGTTTAAGGGGGAAAAGGTTCTATGAGGCAGGGGTGAGGAGCTAATGTATGCCATTCAGAGAGATTGAATAAATATGTAGAATAAAGGTCTACATCATGGATGTTGGGAAGGTTAATGAAGTAGGAGGCAAGTACATTCAAAGGGTGATCAGCATGTATATCAAAGACCTCAAATATGAGAGCAAGGGCTGTATTGGAAAGGAAGATTCTGAGATAGGAATTGGACTGTCTTAGCAAATTTTCCTCAAGGCTTAATCTATGTATCTATATCACCTGGTCCAAACCTTTGGCCTTTGTGTCATACTTTCTAACTGATGGTGGCAAAGATAGGCCCTGAAGTGGCAGTAGGGAAATAAGGATTAGATCAACTCCTCCTCCTCCTCCTGGCCCAGCAGGTGCAAGGCATGCAAGAAGTAGCAGCCAGGAGATAGTGCCAGAGATATGGTGTCTTCTGGAGAAAGCCAGATTTCCCTTGGTGTAGGATGATGGGAAAGTTGTGAAAAGAAGGGATCTAGGATAAAGGGCAGCTAAATGGAAATGAGAACATGGAGAGAGATAGCAAGGAAAGGGTTTTTGCCTTAGCAGATGGTGACTGATTTATTGAAATTAAGGGAGCAAGTGGTACACATCTCTAGCCATTGGACTGGAGGAAATAGTAGCCAGGGTCCTCTGATGGAAGTAGATTTTGATGTGTGTGTTTGAGTTGGACTTCTAGATCAGTGAATATCTGGAAGTCAGGTTCCAGGAATCAGCTCTGGGGTTGATCTCATATGATATCCTGACATGAATCAACGTCTGGAAGATAATGCAGTCAGCACTCAATTTTCAGTCAATCAGACCTTTCATCTAAGGCCCTAGTTCATCTGGAATTGTCTGATGGTTCTGATCTTTTCATTAATACACGTTGTATCTTGAGGTCTGTTATTTGATAAAATAGGTTTTGTTGTTGTTCAGTTGATTTAGTTGTGTCCAACTCTTCATGACCCCATTTGGGATTTTCTTGGCAAAAATACTGGAGTGGTTTGCCATTTCCTTCTCCAGCTCATTTATAGATGAGGAAGCTGAGGTAGACAGGGTTAAGTAGCCCAGGGTCACACAGCTAGTGAGTGTCTGAGGCTGGATTTGAATTATGGTCTGCCTGACTCCAGGCTTGGCACTCTATCCGCTGTGCCACCTAGCTACCCAAAATAGGTTAGGGAGTCATGAAATTAAGGCTGCTCCTTTCAGCACTGTAGTAGGATGTCTGAGGCCTATGTTGTACCTGATATTAAGCAATCGTGGATTTCTAGTTGGCCATTCTCTGTGTTGAATTATATTAGGTAAGTTTTGGTGGTGCTCATAATTGAAGTAAAGAACATATACTGAGGGGCAGCTAGGTGGCGCAGTGCATAGGGCCAGTGCTCTATGGAGTCAGGAGGACCTGAGTTCAAATGTGACCTCAGACATTTGACACTTACTAGCTGTGTGACCCTGGGCAAGTCACTTAACCCCAATTGCCTTGCCAAAAAAAGAAAATAGGAAAAAAAAGAGCATATGCTGGACTGAAGTAATAAAAATGCTAAAAGGAGTAATTATGATGGCTAAAGAACATCATATTAACATTAATTGTTTAACATGATTTAAGTTCTAGAAATAGATAACTACTGATCTAACACTTATCTAAGATTTCTGTAATGATATGAACTCTTTTATTGTCAAAATAACTACAAAATCTTTCCTTTTCCTTTCTAAGAAAAAAAAATTAATGGTTATCTTTTCATTGGTGGTCATTTATTAAAGTTACTATAATGTAAGATAATAGCTAAGATTATATATGTATACTTATGTTATAGCTTAATAGGTGATTTTGATAATGAGCTTTTTATTGAATTGTAATAATATACAAGATGACTGAAAATTTTTTAGTGTGATTTTGTATATCAAGTGATTCTTTTTTTCTATAGGTTAGATCAAATGTTTTCAGATGCCTTTAGCAAAGACCACCAGCTCATTCAGGCTGACCCAAAGCATAGTCTCTACCTTGCTTGTGCCTTGTTGGTTCGAGGAAATGTACAGATTTCAGATCTTCGAAGAAATATTGAAAGGTTTGGCCTTATGTTTTACTTTTTAAAAAAAGTTTTATTGATATCTTTTGTCTATCCTATTCAAGATGACTTTTTCAGTGTATTTCATGATTATTTATTTGTTTAATGTATGTTAGAAATTTGTTTTAAAAAGTCACAAAACCAATCTTACAAGGAAAAAAGCTATTCTGTGGGTTCCTCCAAATAAGGCAAGCCTTCCCCTCCTCAAAGGATTGAAGATTTAGAGCTGTAAGGGTCTCTGGAGGCCATCTAGTTCACCTGCCTCATTACGCTGTGAAGCCCTAAGAGGTTAATTGACTTACCCAAGGTCACCCAGTATACTCGGTAGCAGAGCTGGGATTTGAACACCCTATCTTAATTCATTGGCTCCAAACGTAGTACTTGCTGCACCTCACTGGTTCTCACTTCTTTTTATCCTGTATTTATAATTAGTGTAGCACTAGTCTAATTCATTGTTCGTGTATTCATATTACTTGATTCTTAGTTGTAAATGTTGATTCTTAGATTGAAATCTTCTCTCCACTTTGTCTCATGGAATCAAGAAGGCTGGAAAACAAGTCTGTGTTCAGTACCACCTGTGGGCCATTCTCACTCACTCTTGGCACTAGCAAACAACACCTGTATAAAACCAACTTTCATAGAACTTAAAAAGAGATTCACAAGACTTTACAAGAAAAAGGTAATTATCAGTAAAACATGAAGAATATGCTAACTTGAGTTCCTTTATATATGAGTATATAGATTATACTATTATCACGTAATTTAGGCTTTTGCATTTGACATTGCTTCTTTCAAGGGAAGAAATCTCTCACTGCTATCATTGTAGAAGTTTTTAATCTTTCTGTGTGTCAAGCAGCCCTCTGCTAGACTGGTGAAGCTTTGGCTTCTCAAAATGTTTTAAATAAATAAAACCCATGGAATTACAAAGGAGACCAATTATATTGAAATAAAGATGTAGGTTTTTGTTTGTTTTTCCACTCAAGTTTACAGACTCCCTGACATCTATCTATAGGCCCCTTGAGGATCCTGTTTTAACCTGTTGAGATTTCTCTAGATCTGAACTTTTATCCAGTTCTATCCAGTTATACCTCTAAGCTTTATGTCACCTGAAAATTTGCCAAGCATACCACTTATGTTTTTATCCAAAACATTAATAAATATGTTGAACATTATAGGCCTAAGGATAGCTATGTGGGGCATTTCATTCCTTCAAAGTTGGTATCATTAATCACTATTCTTTGGGTTTTATATCACAACCACTGTGTTATATAGCTCCTACCTCACCATCTTATCTACAAGCATAGTATGAGACTTTGTCAAATGCTTTCTTTAAATCTACCAGTCTAGTTACCCTATCCAGAAATGAAATTATATTATAGTTGCATTAGAATTGCAGTTTCTTAGTGAAACCATACTGGCTTATACTTATCACAGTTTCTCTTTCTATATATGTTTAGAAATCATTTCCTTAATAATTTGCTCTAGAATTTTGCCAGGAATAGAAGTTCATTAATCCATAGTTTGTAGATTCCACCCTTTTCCCCCTTTTTTGAAAAATTGGTACCTTTGCTTTTCTCCAGTCTTTTGGCAACTTCCTCATTCTTATTTTTCAGAAGTTCACTAAATAGTAGCTCAGTGATCACTTATATGCTAGTTCTTTCAGCATTCCTGAATATAGTTCATCTAGGCCTGGTGATTTGAAGTCATTAAATGCAGCTAGTTGCTGTCTGACCATCTCCTCACTTATTTTAGTTCCTCTCTCCCTGCTAATTTTTTTTTTATTATTTCCAGTCTAAAAATCATTTTCTTTGTAGAAAAAAACCAAGAGTTAAGTAATTCAGCTTTACCATCATCAATTATTGTTAACCACCCACCCCAAACACAAAGCCTGTCCCTTCTTTGATCATTTCTTTTGTTCCCACCATAGCTTTCTGTTTGTTGTTGTTGTGTTGTTGTTGTTGTTGTTGTTGTTGTTTGGCTAGGCAGTGGGGTTAAGTGACTTGCCCAGGGCCACACAGCTAGTAAGTGTTATGTGTCTGAGCCGGATTTGAACTCAGGTCCTCCTGAATCCAGGGCCGGTGCTCTATCCACTGCACCACCTAGCTGCCTCTCCACCATAGTTTTTTAAAAAATTGTACCTAGAATTCTTTGACAGCTTTGGAATATTCCAAGCCTTAATACACCTAATACTCCTGTTGTACATCTTCCATTATGTCCCAACTCCTGTACAGGTCGTTTTAAAGCCTAAGCTGGTCATAGAGTTCCTTGTGCATCCTTGTCAGTCTCATTTGACAACACCTCTTTTTCCTTCTCATTGAAATCAGTTCTGCTCGTGTCTTAAGAATCTCATTCTTGAGAACATTCCATGCCTCTTGCATTGATTTTTGTAAAAATTTAGACCATTGAGTCTTACATATCCTTTCCCCTTAACCTTTGAAATGTGCTCTTCTAAAATCTGAGGTGCACATTTTGCAATGCTGGGCTTTTTTCTCCTCTATCATGAGTTTTATAATACAGTAGTCACTTGTTTCCAAGGATCAGTTTTTTTCTGCTTCAGCAAACAGTTGATAAAGAATTTAAGTCTAGAACCAAAGTTTCCCTTGTTGCTTTCATTGCCTTTTAGAGGATGAAATCACTGTGAAGTCAAATCACAGATTTTTTAGTTCTTCAGCTTTTGGCAGAGAGAGGATAGTTAAAGTCTCCCATTACTATATTTTCTGTATGAATGGTCTCTGCATATTGTCATCCGTCACTATCTTCTTAATTCACAAAGCTTTTCCACCTCCATATCTCATTAACCTAGAGTAAACTTGTGCCAGGTTCTGAGATTCATTTCATTTCTTCTCCTTGTCTAGGTAGTTTGTAGTATATACTCCGTAATATCATTTCTGTCTCTGTAGTAATAATTGCTATCATATATCACTGTAAAGTTTACAAAGGACTTTACATACATTATCTCACTTAAAGCTTATGGCAATCCTGTGATTGGTGGTACTCTAGTTTTAGAGATGAGGAAACTGACGCTTAAGGTGGCTAAAGTGGTTCTATATCTCTTGATCCTGGACAATATACTCTTCATCGTGCTTTTCCCCCTCAGTTTCTTAAATTTCCTTACATGAGTATATATTAATATATCATGGTACTTTACCTTCCAACCTTTTTTCTGTTCCTTTTGAATACATTTTAACATTGTAGGACTAAATCCCAGTCTTGAGTCCCCTTCCACCAAGTCCATGATCAAATTTGCTTTTTTTTAATCTGTGTTTCTATTTCTTACATAAATATAGGGCATTTTTTATTACCTTTAGCCCCTTTTTTACCTTATGAATTCTTAGTTATTCTCTAAACTCAACTCAAATGCCATTTCCTCTATTAAGCAGTCCCTGATATCTGATCAGTAATAGCCTTCTACTGTACATAGTACTTGGTTTTGTACATTTGTAACATACTTCTCTAATATTATGTGTTATAGTTATCTGTGTTTGTGTCTTAGCCCCCAACTATATTGTAATCTCAATAAGAGTAGGAACTTCTCCAGGACCTAGCACAGGGCTTTACTCACAGTAGATACTTAGTAGATGTTTGTTGAATGAATAAATTGCCAAAGTGATCAAATTAAACCTGTTTTTTTTGTAGGCTCATCTTCATCACTACCTACAGGTTGATGGAATGGAAGAAAGTTGTTTTACAGAAGCTGTATCATCTTTGTCATCTCTTATAGAGAGCTATAATGAATTAGATGTCACAAAAGGCTTGCCTGTACATGATCCACTTAGACTAAATATAGTTATATAAAAACACATTCACAAGCTTTTATTTTCCATTAGGAATTTTTTGGTTTCCTGGTGGTCTACTTTTTAGTTTGTGTTCTATCACTCAGAAAATCTTGCTTGATTTTATCACTCAAGAAATCTTCATTGATTTTCTTCAAAGTAGCAGGCAGCATTACTGTCTAGGAGAAAAGTTTCCTTTAAGACAGTTTGATGGAGATATGCCATACTGCATTTGGAATCAGTGCAATCTTTGAACCATATCTACAACCATTTTGCCTTTACAAGAACCATATTTTTTAAAGATTTATGAAAAGTATGAAGTCTATTTGCCTTTTTATAACCTGATATTCAGGAGTTGTACACTAATAAAAAGACTGATATAAGTATATTTTTTGTGTATGTAACATTCAGATTTATTTTGAAACACTGTATAGGTACTCCAATTCTTTTTAAAACTGATCTGATGTACTAGGAGTGGTTTAATAAAAATATAAGTAGATATTGATTTTATTATAGTAATTGAAGATGAAATCAGCTTTTGATTTTTCATTCAAAATAATTAAAAATTTTTTAAAATATGTGATTTTATTACATAACCAGATTGATTTTATAGTAGTAAATGTGCCTTATTTATAAAATTCTATTATTTATAATTACTTTGCACAATAAAATCCACGCAAAAGTACAGAACTTTTCCAGGCTCAACATCTTCTAGACATTGTAGTATGTGAGGGAAATAAATATTACAAAATTGCTATAATCTGAAATGTTTAAACTATGTTCATTTGTAACATGACTATACAAAATATTTCACTTATAATTCAAGGCTAATACGTCACTCTGTTTTTACCAAAGGATTGATTTTTGCTCTTATTCTTCTACTAGCAAATCAATTGAAATAAATCATTAGACTTTTCCTACCTTGTTTATGTCACAAACTGTTTCCATCCAGGTACAGCATTTGATGAGATATGGAAGAGGAAATTTTTGTGAATTAAAAATGTTACAATGGATGATAGCCAAAGAATGGCTAAGGTAGTGAGAACTAGGGGAAAAAAGTATTTTTATAATAATATAGCCTTATTTCTCCACAAGAATTAAAAGGGTACAAATACATTTGCAAAAGGCAGTGCATTATAACCCCTTAGTTAAGAGATCAAGACACAGTCCTAGGGGCCAGTCATTCTTAGGCTTTTTTAACTAACATCTACTTGCTTTTGTAGAAAACATGAAATGGTCCAGTACTATACATATAATAGACTGTATTTTGCCTTTATAGAATTACCACATGTAGGATCAAATCTTGCTCTGATATTTAATTATGACACAAATTTTAGGAGTTATGGCTTAAATTTCTTGCTTTTCAGAGTCCCATATTTGTTTAAAAGAACTTCCAAAAATTCAAATTATATACAAATATGACTAGACATATCTATCCTTACTCTTTTCAACATAAATGCATTTTTTTCACTTTTTTAGCCACATAAATTATTGGAAGAATTATTTGGTGTAGTAAAGAGATTATGCTTAGACTAACACTAATGTTTAATATTTACTGCCATTTTTAATTAAAGCTCTTTATAGAATCTTTAGCTCAGAAAAGATATCCCCTGGATCTCTGCAGGTTTTTTGACATACACAAGAGGTGATCCACATCATTTTCCATTTAAATGACCCTTCATTTGGGCAATCAAACTGTATGGTAATCATCTTAGACTTATTAGGAATGCAGCATCTCTTATCCAAGCATTTTCCACAGAAAGTTGGTTTGTAGCTCTGAGTACTTGTGCATCCAGAAAAGGAAAGTTTCTCTCGTTTAGAAAGTTGAAAAGTAGGCTGGCATGTTTTTCCTTTTGGTATCTAAAAAATAAAGTAGCAAATAAAAGGAAATTTTAAAAATTTGAATGGAAGGAGGATGCTATTTTAGAAAAACATTGCTATTTAGATATATATACTGGTTTATAGTTTTTGTTGTTTAATCATTTCAATCACGTCAGGCTCTTCATGACCTCCTTTGGGATTTTCTTCGCGAAGGTACTGGAATAGCTTGCCTTTTCCTTCTCCAGCTTATTTTACAGATAAGGAACGGAGACGAACAGGATTAAGTGACTTGCCCAGGGTCACACAGCTGATTTGAACTCAGGAAGACAAAAGTTCCAGACTTCAGATCTGACACTTATCCACTGTACCACCTAGCTGCAGTTTACAGTTATTGCCAACAACGAGCATAGTACATTGCACATAGTAGGTGCTTAATGTTTGTTGAATAAATGAATGTTAAGGAGAGCAGTGTGGTGGTGTGGGAACAGCACTGGACTGAGTCGTTTGATCTTTATTGTAGATCTGGCTGGCCTTGTCACCAAATAACAGCTTGAGTAAGTCAGCTTTTCTTATAGATGAGGAAGGATTTGACTGAATCTTCTCTCAGGTTTTAACATCCTTTGTCCCAAGAATATTTGTAGTAGCCTCAGAAACAAATATGAATGGTCCCCTACAATGACCTGTCACCTGAGAGCTGGGGTCCTGGCCTATTCCTTCACGCTAAAGCTGTTATACCCCAGTTAGTAGAATTCAAGTCATCATTTGTTAATCTTCAAGTCATATGATAGGTGCTGAGGACAAAAAATTAAAAATGGCTCTGCCTACAAAAGCTTCTATTCTACTGGAAAGATGCACCACATCAATCTGTACACAAGTAACACAACACAATTTGAGGAGGGAGAAAGCACTAAAAATGAGGGTAGGTGAGGGATCAGGAAGACTTAGTGGTAGCACCTAAGCTGAAGCTTGTAAGGAGACAAGGACAGGAAGGGAGATGGAATACTGGATTCAGGAGCCAGGAACAAAAAAGCATGTTGGAAATGGAGGGGGGTGGAGCATGAAATGAGCCCAAAAAGGTAGATTGAAATCAGATCATGTGGCTTCAGATGCAGGGCTAAGGGGTTTATATTTTATCCTATAGGCCATGGAAGGTTTTCTAACTCGGGAAGATGCTTTAGGAAGATTTTGTTAACTGTGTGAAGGAAGCATTGGAGAGAGGAGAGACTGAAACGTGGAATCTGATTCTGTTTATACAGTAGTCCAGGTGAGATGGTAGGTAGTGGTCTTTCTAGTAAAGTAAAAGGGATGCATGTAAGAGGTATAAAGGTCAAATCCACAAGACTTGGCAATTGATTAGATATGGCAGTGGGGTGAGTGCAGGAAAGAAAGTGAGTAATTCAAATGAATCTTTTTAGATTGATAAATTGGTGACGGTCTCAACAGAAAGAAGCTAGGGGTGAGAGTTGTAATACAGGGGAAGGTAATAAATTCTGTTTTGGACATGTTGAATTTGAGGTGCCTATGGTACAGTAGTTGGTAGTGTGGGATAGGAGTTCCCACATTGAAAAGATTAGGAAATACATATACATGCACACATACATTTGTTACGCATTTAGGAAGGATGCTTGGGCCCCACAGTGTCCCAACTAGGGAGCAATTGAGATCATCATTGAAGAGAATGTTGAAAAAGAAGATATGACCAAAAACAGATCCCTGGAAAATAGAGCCATGTTAAGAAAGAAACTGTATAATGATCCATTCAAAAAGACTGAGATAAGATGAGAAAAATAAGAGAAAATAGTATCATGAGAAGCCAATGGAAGAGAAAATATGGGGACAAGGAGAGTGGGGGAGTCTACATGACTTCCAGGTCATGTGACCAGCGAGATAAAGGACTAGATATTTCTTTGATTTTCATTATCTTTCAAACCCCTCCCTCGCACAGAGATGATAAATAAGGTAACAACCTGAAGTGCAGAGAAGGCTAATCTGTTATAGGCTCACTGAGTACTCCCTCATCAGCCATTGTACTCTGGCAGGGCTATAGCAGGTGACCCATGGATTTAGAACTCCATTCTACCCACTGTGGAAAACCAAAGGTAGAAGCTTCCTCTAGTTGGGTCTGTAGTGTGGCATTTCTGTATGTTGCTACAGTGCTCTGCCACACAGAACTAAAGGAGGGAACTGGGGCAGGATAGCAATGTGTATGTGGATCTACCAGCCCTAGGGAAAAGAGGACTGACATCTACTGTGCCCACTTTTATTCCCTCAGACCTGGAGGCAGAGGGTGAGGCTAATAAAATATGAATTACCAGAGTACGAGGAGGCTGAGACAGCTTTAAAGATCTGTCTCCAGGGAAACTTACCATCAAAGGTGAAAGAGTCAGAAAGTGAGCAATAAGGTTAATATAAGAGGAAAAAGAACTGAAATTATCATAATCTCAGCTCCCAGCAGGAAGAAAACAAAGATCTTGAGCACAAGCAGATTAACAGAGAAGAGATTGTTAGCAGTGGAAGATGGGATCTAGACCATCCAAAGGAGTCCAGACATCTATGAATGAATGTAAGATAGAAAAATGAATCAACACCTGATAAGGCAGAAGCTACTGTGAATTTTCAAGACAGCATGGAACCACAAACAGGGTGTTCCTGAAAAAGCTTGAGAGAAAGAATTGTGAAAGCAGAATTTATGGCCAGAAATGATTGGCTCAACAGAAAAACATGAATTCATATTGGCAAATTTAACCAAAGAATCAGAAGAGGCAAAAAAAAAAAGAAAAAGAAAAATTGATCTCTATACAAACAAAACATTGATCTCCCAAGATAAAAGACAATGTAAGGATTATAAATCTTCCAGAAGAACATGAGTTAAAAAACCCAAACACTATAATGCAAGAAATAATACAAGAAAACTGCCCAGAACTTCAGAACACAGAAAACAAAGTATTAATCAAAAGAATCCACAGACCTACCTCCAGGTGGGCAAAAAAACAACTCACGCAGCAAACTGCAAGACCCATAAATGACCAGGATAAAGACATTCAAATGGAAATCAGATTTGAATAACACAAGCCTATTCTGCACCTTGTAGAAATCAATGGTGGAAGTGAATAATGTTTCAAAGAGCAAAGGAGTTCAAGTTGCCACCCGCCACCCTCCAGGAGGTGACATACCCAGCCTGATGAAAAAAGATGGATATGTAATTTTTAAAAAGAGACACCTAAAGTAATCCTACAAAGAAAACCAGACCGTAGCAAATTATTTGCTTTATAAATATCCCAAACCACAAAAATACAAAAAGATAAACAAATACAGCAGCAAAAGAAAGTAGAACTAACAAAATTACCCAGTGCAGGGAGGAGGGATAAAAACTAGAAAGAGGAAGACACTTATGGGGTTTAACAACAAAAAAAATAATATATTAAAAGATTTCTTTCTAAAAGCACACAAGAAGACGAGTGAAATCAGAAGTCAAATACAAGTGATGGTGGAGGAAGAGGACTAAAACATCATGGCCTAAATCTCACCACACCCTACCTGCCATGAATCAAAGTCTTTGTTTTGTTTGTTTTCCAGAGACTAAACTACAGAAGGGGATGGCACATAAAACTGAAAAGGAAAGGAAAAAGGTAGAGGGGAATATGCATGCAAGGTGCCTTAATCAAGTAAATGGTTAACTCTGAAGAGAAAGTAGTAACTCCTGTAGTTGTTCAGGAAGTAGAGGGCCCACAGGAGATTGGCTGAGAAGGTAAATGGAAGGACAAAGCAAGTGGCACAGTGGATAGAGTGCTGGGCCTAGGGTCAAGAAGATCTAATTGACCCTTGGTCTGCCTCAGTTTCCTTAGCTGTAAAATGAGGATAATAGTAACTACCCCAGAGGGTTGTTGTGAAATCAAATGAGATATTATTTATAAAGCACTTAATATAATGCCTGTCGTATAGGCATTTAATAAATGCTTGTTCCCTTCCCTTTAGAAGGGAACTTTTGAAATGGCAAAAAATGGAGAAATGTTATTTCAATAGTGAGACAGGGTCCCTCTGAAGAACTTCCCCATGGAGGAAGAGAGATGCTCTCAAAATGGAGTAGGAGGAGCTTACAATGGATATAATCTGCAGGAATTTGGTGTTTAGAGAGACTTCTCATCCTACCTTAGGAGAAGGGAAATGCAGAGGAGCAAGTAGCACCCAGAAGAGCAGGAGGGCAGGGACTCATTTCATTGTATATGGAGGAAAAATGATAATATGGAAAACAAAGAGCAGTAATGAACTGTATAATCAGGAACATGGGATAATTCCTACCATATAACAGTACTTCTCTATACTGGCTATCACCAGAAAAAAATGGCCAGCCAGGGGACAAAATCTACAAAGCTCTTTAGAAGAAGGAACTCAAAATGGGTACCTTAGAAGCTTTAATTCCATGAGGAATATAGAAACTAAAAGAATAAATATAAGGGACTTGAATTAAAAAATAAAAGTATAGAAGAAAGAGAATAAAGAATAAGGGAAACAAATCCTTCTCAGAAAGACACAGAAAATGAAATTTTGAAAACTAACAAGGTGAGGGGGGAAAGGAAAAGGATTTTACTTAACTACTTGGGCAGGGGGTGAGGAGTGGGGAGGGGAAAAGTAATTAGAAAATAGATGGAAGAGCCTGGATTCAAATCCCAGCTCTGCTATTAAATATCCGTGGGATCTTGGGCAAGTTACATTACTTCTACAGGCCTCAGTTTCCTTATCTGTAAAATGAAACAGAAAGGTGATCTTTGAGGTCCTTTCCAGCTCAGATTCTAACCACCTAGGGTCAGTTATCAGCAGGACCACAAAATGTGCTTTTCTTCAAGTCAAAACTTACCTTCACAGCCTTTAATATGTTACTGTCACAAGGCTGAATATAACACAGTCTTTTCTCTTTCCTCATTTCACAGTGACTGTTTTCATTGGTCACTCTATTGGATATTCCTAGCCCACATGTTCTAGAACAAGGCGTCCATGTTGTAGCCTGCACAAGGCACTTCCTCTTCCAGAAAAGTGGGAGAGTCTTATAAACTAGAATAGAAAGGAGAAAAAAAAGACTGCCAATCATTAATTTCCAGTTCTATCTTAATCATTCAGTTACCCAAATAAACTCCCATAGTAGCTTAATTTTTGGAACTGGTTCTGCATCATCCCTTTATCCCACTCCCAAATTCTCAGATAAATTCCAACAAACCAATTTCTTTTATGAATAGGAATTTTAAAAAATAACCTTTGAGGTAAAATTGCAGCTTTTTTTCCCCTTAATTTGTTTCCTTCTATCTAGAGTCAAATGTGGCCCTTTGACTGAATCCAAACTTCATAGAACAGATCCCCCTAATAAAAGGATTTGTTCTGTAAAAATTGGACTCAGTGAAAAGGCCACAACCAAGGACCTAGAAGGCCACATGTGGCCTCGAGGTCGCTGATTCCCCACCCCTGATCTAGACTATACTCCAGCTATTGAACCTGGCCATATTCTGATTTATAGCTTGTTTCTCCTACAGGAACAACTACAATCCTTTCCTCCTTCCTAAATTGATCTCTCACAGAACAAACATTAAAATAGATGTTAATAGGATATGGAGAAGCAAGATGTTAATCAGAATGATGTAAGCTTAATAGGAAATGTCATGATCTGTGAAAGTACTTTGTGGGCCAAGATAACTAATCTTGAAGCATAGTATTTCTCCCTAATTTGTGCCTTGTTGTTCATATTCATTAGAAGGTATTCCGGTGTTTCGGAAGGAAATGACTTCTGCTTTTGAAACTGACTAAAGACAGAAAATAGACTTCTACTCTAACATCACAAAAGACTTGATATACAGCCTTAAACCCTGAACTTCCAATTCAGTCAAATTCTCCCATTCCAACTGTGCAGGGCTATTGTTGCAAGCTCCACTGGCTGCTTCTGGTTTGATCTGGCTTAGTTTTGTTTTGGGTGGGGAGCGGGAGACATCATACTTTTTTCATCCCCAAGTAAAGCCAGTGGGAGCTTGCTGTCTCAATCCAGATTGATTCATGCATGTCACAGAGTCAAGCTCATTAATTCTGAACAAGCTACATGTTGGTATTCTCAGACACTCCAAAGCATTTCTTTAATTTAAAGAGAATAGGAAAATATTAATATTTTAAAGTCTTAAGCCTGCATGTAAGTGTTCTGTGAAAAATTCTGGGCACAATATGACAAGATGTCAATTTGAAAGAAAAAAAGGAGAAATTTTACTTCTAGTCAGCTGAGAAACATAAGCTGCTTTGAATTATATACTATATTGAAACAAATATATACATACATGTATATATGTATGTATGTGTGTGTGTGTGTGTATCTTACAACAATATCATCTGAAATCTATATATAAATGATGGAACGGGGGCAGAAATATGGGTACCTGGAAGGTAGACAGCAGTTTAAAGACCTCAATGCAGGAAGCAGAGTAAAAGCCTGGCACATCTGGAATAAATAAAGGGAAGATAAGTTGTTGCAAATCCAGTGCATCTCATCACTTAAAATCTAGCCAGGAGATGCAGTTTAGAAATCTGATTAACAAAGTACATGTTTTTAAAAAGCAAGAAATTTGGAAGAGCAGTTAAAAAAAAAGTTTAGCACATGTAAGCAGAGAGCACTATGTCACCACATAATTTTATGCTGACCAAGCAAAAGCTAGATTCTAAACATCTGGAATTAAGTAAGTGAATGAGTGAGTGTGTGTGTGTGTGTGTGTGTGTGTGTGTGTGTGTGCGCGTGCGCACACGTGTGTATGTGTGTTCAGTCATTTTTCAGTTGTGTCCAACTCTTCATGACCCCATTTGGGGTTTTCTTGGCAAAGATACTGGAGTGGTTTGCCATTTCCTTCTCTAGTTTATTTTACAGATGAACATACTGAGGCAAACGGAATTAAGTAACTTGCCCATGGTCACACAGCTAGTAACTGTCTGGGGGCCAGATTTGAAACCAAGAAGATGAATCTTTCTGACTCCAGGCCTGGTGCTCTATCCACTGCACCACCTAGCTGCCCAACTATATAAATAAATAACACTGATTTGAGAGAGGATATGTGTCTTTGTGAGTCTGTCTGTGTAAAAGATTGAAATCCATCAAGGCTCATTAATACTGTAACTCAGTTAATCAAAGCAGAGGGACTCAGAGGAGATTAAACTCCCTTTGCAACCTAAAGCCCAGCTAACCCACCAACCAGAATACCAGGATTTGATTCCGGGTTCTGAAACTTTACATAGAGTTTGAGACTTACATGGGACCTTGGCAGCCATCTGGTCCAATCCATCTAGGAAAAGAATCCCTACTATAACGATCCTGCAAGTGGTCTTCCATTCTGTTCTTGGAGACCTGCGAAGAGGGAGAATCCCCTTCTTCTGAGGCAGATTATTATACTTCTGAATACCTCTAATTATGAGGAAATCTTTCCTGACATCAAGCCTAAATTTGCTTTTTTCCAACCCATTGTCCCTGATTCTGCCCAAACGGAATGAATCTAATACTTCTTATCCTAAGGACCACAGTACCATAAGCCTTGAGGATATTTAAAAAAAAAAAAATTGGACTTTGAGAGGCTTCTCCATGTGACACCCTTCAAAAACTTGTAAACATCTATTCATATCCACCTGAAGAGTTCTCTGGGCAAAATAACTCTAGTTTCTTCAACTGCTCCTCTTTGTGATGCGGTCCCAAAGCCTTTCACAAATCCTGGTTGTCCTGCTCTGGACATTCTCCAACTTGTCAATGTCGTCCTTAAACCAGAGTACCCCGAACTGAGCACAAATACACCAGGTGAAGTATGATTTAATCATTGTGAGACCGTGGGAGAATTAGTAACCTCTCTGGAGCTCACTTTCATCATTTGTAAAATGAGGGAGTTGGACTGATGTCTAAAATTCTCTCCATCCCTAAATCTATGATCTAAGATCTCAGTAGATGGTTTCACACAAAGTTAGAGTTGGCAGGGAACCTTGAGATCATCTAATACATCCCTTTCATTTTTCATGTACATTTGAGGAAACTGAATCCCTGAGAGCTTATGTGATTTATGTAATAAGGGGCAGAGTCTGAATTTGAACCCAGGTTCAAAGGTCTTAACACTCTACAACACTGCTTTTAATATTGGTATTGCTCTCAGCCTCGGTCCCAAGTGTATATACTAACATTTTATATGTATGGCTCTTCCTAATGGTATAAGTATTGAAGCATTTCTCTCCCCATTCTCCATTATATTGTAAGTTCCTTGTTGTATTTTTGTTTCCCTAAAACCCAGTACAATGTCTTGTGTATAGAAAGTAATTAATAATAATAGCAATAATACTACTAATAATAATATAACTAGCATTGATATAGTGCTTTAATGTTTGCAAAGTACTTCTCACAACAACCCTGGGAGGTAGGTGCTATTGCTATCCCCATTTTACAGATGAAGAAACAGACTGACAGAGGTCAAATGATTTGACCGTGGTCACACAGCATAGTAAGTGTCTAAGGCTAGATTTGAATTCAGGTCTTCCTGACTCTAAATACAGTGCTGTATCCTCAGCAACACCCAGAAAACTTACCTATAAAGCAGAATTCCATAAATGATAGGACATTTCTGGACTCCACCGAAAGGGAAGGAGCTCACATATATGCAGGTACCTAAAAGACCTTGTTACAAGGGTATTTCACTTATATCAAGGGATCCCAACCTGGGGGACACATACTCCCACAAGAAGGTTGTCAAGATGGCATTGGGGAATTTGGTAAATAATTATCATCCTATTGAAATGAGTATTTCTTATGTGTATAGTATAGTTATGAATAGCATATAATGTGTACCACATTATATATTATATAAATCTCTATAAGATGTTCTATATATAATATATAATTACTTATAGTAAGTTCTACAAATTACTTCCTTTTTATTTAATAAGGATTGTGAGAAAGTTAACTGAAAGCCAAGAGCTGTGGAAAATGTTGGGAACCCCTGACTTACAAGATAGCCCACCCAGCCACAGTATATGGATCCTGAGGACAACAGTATGAGCCTTCAGGGTATTTTTTTAAAAATAACGGACTTTAAGAGGCTCTGGATCCACTATAAGAAATAACATATGCTTTAAGTGGCTTATGATTTCAGAGATGTTAATGTACTGTGAAAGGAGGCGGGCTAGGCGATCTAGAGGCCAGCATTAAAAGACAAGATAGGTACAATGTGTTAATGAACTTCTAAGTCAACTGATTTGATTGAGTTCTTGAGATTGCTCCCTTCGTGAAACTAGATATTCTTTAAACCCACATAAAACTCATTCCCCTGACTAGAGTTTCTTTTCCAAATATCCCTAAAAGGCACTTATATATAGGACTAATTTCTTCAGCATGTACAGTTATTTCACATTTCCATAACAAATAGGCCATTCCAGCTGAAACTCAAGTGCATGAGTGAAAGAAATGTTAAATAAGACCAGAAAGATAGGTTAGTGCCAGATTGTAAAGAGTTCTAAAAGTCAAACATAGGAATTTGCATTACATGCTAGAAATGATAAAAGAGTCACAGAAATTTCTTGAGCAGGAATGATATGGTCAGACCTGTGCTTTGGCATCTGTATGGAGCATGGATTAGAGAGAGAATAGATTGGAAACTAGGGGACCAGAGAGGAGTCTATTTCAATAGTTTGGGTAAGAGGTGATAAGGGCCTGAAGTAAAGTGGTAGCTATATGAGTAGAGAAACAAAAGAAATTGATGGGAGAGATATTAATAGAGATAAAATCAAGACAAAGTGAAGAGAGAGCTGAAGGTGATTCCAAGGTTAGAAACCTTGAAAACTGAAATAAGGTAGAAATAAGGTAGTTAGGAAGAAAGATAATAGGTTTGGTTCTAGCTGTGTAGAGGTTGAAATATCAATGGGATGTACTGATAGTAATGTCCAGGTGGCAATTAGTGGTGCTCAGAAGAGAGACTGGCTGGATATGTAAATTTGGGGGTTATTGTATAGAGGTGATAATTGAAACCATGGAAACTACAAGATCACCAGGAACTCTATTTAAGGAGGATGCTAAGGCAAAGAATGTCTCCTTCTTCCCCAGGGTACACAGTGGACTTCTACTGTGCCCCAGCTCTTCATCCTGAAGCTCCTCTAGTCCTGGAATTCAAACTTTGGAAGTAAGCTCCACCCCTGCAGCCTCTCCCTCTGATTGGATGGCTCTTCCCAGAGCCCCCATTTGAGAACAGCCAAACCAACCATGTCTTTCTTCTCCAGGCTGCATTCCAGACTTCTATCCTTCTCCTGTGCTGGTTATCTTCATCTGCAGCTCCCATTTCCCATCCTTTCCACTTCCTTTATATGTATTGTCTTCCCTCATTAAAATGTAAGCTCTTTGGGAGGTAGAGTCAAGATGGTGGAGCAGCCAAAAGAAGTACAGCCTAGCTCCCTCACCATATCTCAGCTGTATTTTCCTTTCCATTGAGAGAAATGATTATTTCTCTCCTATCTTAATAGCCAGTTATTTAACTAGGAGTAAGGTTTTTCCCCTTCCTTTCCTCATTTAGAAATCAGACCCTGTAGATTATTCAGGTAGCTTTTGAAGTAGAGGGCTCATAATGAGATGAAAGCTTGGGCAAAACTGACCAAACTGGAAAACTCAGATCTGTTCAAAAGGTAAAGAAATTTTAGTTTAGGTGAATTGATGGATTCTGGCCCATTATATTTTACTCAGACAAGTCTGGGTAAAAGTGGATTCCCCTTTTTGTCTAGATTACCCTAGATGGGGTGATATGGGTATAGATAAATCTCTTTGACCAAGAGTGAGTGATCAGTCACATCCCCCAGACCCTCATTAGAATAAGCCCACTTCTCATTATAACATTCATTCTCTCATTACTTGTTAACCAATCAGAGTTGATTGTCATCCTCAGGAACACCCACTTTTCCAAGGGCACATAAGCATTGAGTGGGTTCCATGAGAGGTCTTTGGCATTCGAGAGTTCCACTGACCTCTTTTATTATCTGCTAACATGAGTAATAAGATGATTAATTACTCAGAAATTACATCTATCAAATTTTTATATGTCACACCATAGCTATGTAAACACTTATCCCTATAACACTTTGGCATTTAAACAGAATATTAACTTATAGTTGGTGAAAATTCAAGAAGGTGTATAAATCTAATTGCCATCAATAGCACTTAAAAAAAGATTCTAGCTCAGGTTGAGTTATAATCTCACTTAATGTCTGTTAGAGTATCTATATTTACTGGTGGTTTTTCCCCATTCTTTTGATTTTGATTCACTGTTTCTTGTCTTAACTCTGCTTTCACTTTGACCTACTTTAGTTTTCAGGGAGTCCAATTTTTAGGTAAAGTTCACCATTTTCTATTACAAACTAGTAATTCTCTTTTCTATTATTCTTCCCTAGCTCTCATTTCATTTAACATTATATTTTGTATCTTGCTTCATTTCTTCTAGGTTTTCTGTAATCCTTGTGGCTAGGTCATTCTTTTCTCTGATGCTCTAATCAGATTTATTGTGGAGTTACTCTTTTCTTCTGGGTTTTCCTTTAGGGCTTCTCTTGGTCCATACTATTTCTTCATTGTGTTCAACATTTTCTTCTGTTTACCCGTATCTGTTTCTGGATTTCTTTTCCACTTGGGCCAAACTCTTATAGTTGTTCGGTTATTTTCAGTTGTGTCCAACTCTTCATGACCCCATTTGGGATTTTCTTGGCAAACATACTGTAATGGTTTGCTATTTCCTTCTCCAGCTCATTTTACAGATGAGGAAATTGAGGCAAACAGGGTTAAGTGACTTGCCCAAGGTCACACAGCTAGTAAGTGTCTGAGGCTGGAATTGAACTCATGAAGATGAGTCTTCCTGAGTCCAGGCCCAGCACTCTATCCACTACTATCCCATCTCATACTCTTGGATGATGCTAGCAGGCCCTGCTTAGTCCTAGATACAATGGCTAAGATGATAACCCAGCCTTTACAGCAATTCCTGGGATTTGGCTTAGTCTCCTATTGATTCAATTACATTTTCGGCCTTGATCTTTTCTCCGTTTCACCTCACCTGGAATCAGCTCTGTCCCTTGTTTGTAACCTGACACTGTAACCACATGCATTAGTAGCAGATATCTTCCAATAACTCTAACGCCTTGCTTTCCAGGTAATGCCCTACTACTTTTTCCTCCTCTGACTTGGGTGTGGGCTTCCCAGAGTCTTCTCTGGCTCTGACTCCTGCTACAATTTACAATAGTAGTATGGGCTGCCTGGGCTCTGGTCTGTACTTCCCAGGTGCTAGTCTGGCTCAGTCCTGCTGTAGCTTAAGTGCTTGGGTGCTGACCCAGCTTTGTGTCCTTCTGTGGCTCTAGTGCAGGCTAGTGGGACCTTGTCTCTTGCACGGTGCCTTCTGTCTAACCTGGCTTTTCTCTGCCCAGAGCCTACACAAGTTTCTGGCAATCTTCTTGTGAACTTTTGAATGGATAGAGGAGCATATAGCCTTTTCACTTTGGTTTTCTTTATGATTGTTCCTTCTGATGCCTTATGGGAGATTTATTTGTATAGGATCTGGGTTCTTCTATGTCCTAGCATGCCACAGTCTTAGACTGAAGACCATTAATGTCTATTAAAAAACAACCAGGTGACATAGGGGATAGAATCTAGGCTTGGGTCAGGAGGACCCCAGTTCATATCTGGCCTCAGACACTTACTAGCTATGTGACCCTGGGCAAGTCATTTACCTGCTCTGTTGCCTCAGTTTCCCCATTTGTAAAATGGGGATAACAATAGCACCTACGTCCCAGTATTGTCGTGAGGAGTAAATGACATAATGTTTATGAGAGAGCTACGTGGCACAGTGGGTAGAGCCCTGGCCTGGAGTCAGGAAGCCTCGAGTTTATATCTAGCCTTAGACACTTAACTAAGTGATCCTGGGAAAATTACTTTAACCTCTGTTTACCTCAGTTTCCCCAATTGTAAATGGGGATAATAATAGTGCCTACTTCCCAGGGCTGCTGTGAGGAGAAATTGAGATTACATTTATAGTGTTTAGCAAACTAGTTCTGGACACTTAAATGATTGTTTCCTTCCTTCTTTCCATCCATAACCAGTTTCTATCAAAGTCTGTGATTATAAATGTACCTTCTGCAGGGAAAGGTGGGTTAGTAAAATGTGCACACATATAGTAATAGTTATAGGCTAGTGATTTTGTGCCTGTTTTCAAAATAAATGAAAAACTAATTTAGTATCAAAATAGTTTTATACAGAAAAATGTATTTGGGCCAGGTGCAATAGTACACACTTGTAATCTCCATTTCAGGGGAGGTCAAAGCAGCTGGGTAGCTTGAGTTCAGGAGTTCTGAGCTGCAGTGTGCTAAAAGCTGATCAGGCATCCACACTGAGTCCAGCAACAACATGAGGAGCACCTGAGTGAAGGGGGCACCAGGAGGTCTAAGGAGGGGCAAAATGGCCCAGATCAGAAATGGAATATGTCCAAGTTACCATGTCAGTCAGTACTGGGATCAGGCCTATGAGAAGCCACTATTCTTCTAGCCTAGGTATGATAGGGAGACTTGGCCTCAAAAAATTAAACACATATACATCTATATTTGCAAATATTCATACGTTTATATATGTCTATATATGCACATATGTACACATATGTATTTACAGGTTCAGATAATACAGATACAAACAATACTTCCAATTCCTTGTCTATTTTTAACTTAGTTACAGTACATCTCAGTTTCTTTTCATTTCACACAGAAAATTTATTCTTAGATATTTGTCACTGAGACATAGTAATAATTGACTATAACATAGCAGTGCAAGTAAATCTTGGAAAAATTTCCCAGAAGATGCATGGATGACAAGCATTCTTTTATTCAAAGGCAGGATGAGAGGAAAAGAGTTTCAAGAAGGGGGTGGAAGATGAAACATCAAAAGAATCTTCCTGATTCAAAGTGTTATTTTAAAGGCTAGAATTTTTTTTTAATTTTTTTTTAGAATTCTTTACCAAAGAAGATAACAAAATATCCTTTGCAGATGATTCATAAATTTACCTGCCTAAAGGCAAAGGACTAGATGAGGTGGCATCTCATGGTCCCTTTCAACCCAGTTGATCAGTGATCTGTGATCAAGGGCTCAAAGTACATAGTAAACACTCAGATCTGTGGCCACACACCACCACCACCAAAATTAGATTCAATCAAATCAGCCAATACTTATTGGGCACCTACTATGTACAAGGCACCAGGCTACATAAAGCAAAACCAGGATGGTAAATAGTAAGACAAATGACAGCAAACATTCATTTTTGGCCCAGTCAGTTGAGCTTAAAAGGAATTTGCCATAGCTCTGGTTGTACTCACCTGGCATTGCTTGGTAGCTCGCTGATATCTGTTGTTGCAGTAGTCTCAAGCTACAGTAGGATTGGTCAGACTTTTTCCCACCTTTGGGGCCAGAGCATTGACTGTCTATTTGCTTTGGTATGAATAAGGGTGTACACCCAATGGCACCACTCACACATAGGCATTTGTACAGGGGATTAGGCTGAAAAACTTGGCCATTTTGATAATGTACCTTGTTGAGTTCACATCCTACAGCTATGAGATCTGAAAATGGAAAACAACCAAATCACCAGGAATAAATGAGCTACAATATTTTATACCTCCAGTCAAAAATAGGAGAGATTATATCTGTATCTTTTCTGGTACAAAAGTCTCTACTACGTATTCCACATTGTGAATGCTCATTCGCAATAATACCTAAATATACAAAAGGACAATTAGAGATTTTTTTTTAAAATTACACATGAATGGCTCTCCTGCCCCCATCTCCAATGCTCAAGCAGCCATCTGCTAAACAATAGTCACCTGTCTTCTCCTTGCATTTTCTGGATTTTAAGCACCCAGGAGAGCTTGAAGTATGAAAATATAATAGCTACAAATGGGGGGCAGACATAAAGGAGATCAATTGTCAGTTGTACTTTGATGGGACCTTTTAAAAGGTCCAGACTGGGAACTTTGGGTTGTTCTCTCTGGCTTTAGATATGTATCTGTTTCAAAGGGGAAGAGACATGGAGGAGACTGTAATGGGCAGGAACTTTAGGATAGGCTAGCCAACCACCTGATTTCCCTAAAAGATCGTCAGAGTTCAGTTATAGCCTCTGCAAGAGCCAAACTATGAATAGACGTTAATGGTTGTGGCCAGCAGTGGAAGCTGGTGGTGTGGGGAAATCTTTTTTTTCTAAGCCAGTGAATAGCAGATAGCAGTCATTTACAAAATGGCCTTTAGGAGCTTCTGTCTCCACTGGGAAAACCAAGAGACATAATACACAAGAGAAGGGGGGGAACTGGCAATTGAGACAGACTCTACTTCACTCAATCTGCTTTGGTTTTAATATTGTCCCTTCTACTTTCCACTTCCCTTTAGGAAATTCCATTTAGTCTGAATTCCAGGCAAGTTAATTCTTTGGGGCTATTCTGAGAAGGGAAAGCAAGATTAGGAAACCTATAAGGGAATAAGGAATTGATGTTATGATTTTGATGGAACTGTTTTGTACTCCTAGATTTGAATTCAAATTCTGAGCTCTAGGGAGCGTATTGTAGTGAGCTGGTGTAGCTCAAGCTTCAGATGCCATCTGCTGGCTTGCGCAGATATAGCACTTTGCCATGGTTTTTCCAAGCTGTGTCACACACAAACTTGTAACACATAGCAAAGTATAACACATAATTAACTAGTTTAGTTCATTTGAAAACCTAAACACCCAGGACAAAGAATAAAAGCAATGTCTGAATAATAATAACACATCTTATTTCATGCTTTAAGGATATGCAAGGCACCTTCCTCACAGCAGTCATTTGAAGTATGTAGTGCAAATATTGCCCCCATCTTACAGATGAAGAAACTGAGGCTTGGGTTCATTAAGGGACCCAGATGTCTCCTGATTTGAAGTTTAGTGCTCCTTCCACCGTAGGAAAGGCAGTATGGTTAGTGACTAGAGCACTGGCCTCAGAATCAGGAGATCTAGGTTCGGATCCCACCTCAGACATTTATTTACTAACAGTGATCATAAACAAGTTCCTTAGTTTCCTTATCTAAAAAGAGTCACAATAATACTTGTACCACCTAATGCCAGGCACATAGTAGGTGCTTGATAAATGCTTGTTGAAAGCATTCTGTAAAACTTTACTGTATATGTATGATTTAATTTTACTACATTTCTCATAATTTTGTTGACCCAGAACTATGATTTAATAGGAGTAGGAACTCCCAGTGTGGAAACTCTCTCCATAAATTTAGATGGACAGCTCCCTATGTTTTATAATCTCATTTGCCTGGAACACTATAAAGTTAAGTCACTTGCCTATGTTTATACAATATGTATCAAAGTCAGAACTTGAACTCAGGTCTTCCTGATAGCCGCTATATCATGCTGCCTCTCTATGGTTTTACATGAGTTAAATTATAAAAGAAAAGCAATTGGTCACAGTGAATGGAAGGCAGGCCTTACAGTCACTTTGACATGGGTTCAAGTGCCATTTCTGACATATAGTATCTCTGTGTCCTAGGCAAGTCTCAGTACCCCAGGTAACTTTCTAAAATTATGTTCTAGATCAATTACTGATCCATGCTATTGGAAGAATTGTCCATGCTGAAAGTTTCCAAATTCATGACATCACAGCTCCAGATCAAAAACTTTTTTTTTCATTATAAAAGGGCTAAATTTAGTTTGAACAAAGTGTTGGGAAAAAACTCAACATAGTCCCTGGCACATAAATGCTTAATAAAAAGTGTTTTGATTCATTTATTTACTCCTATGGTGCTTTTAAATCTTGTAAGCATTTTCAAATGGTTTTCCCATTTTTAAGCAGCACACCTTAAAGGCAATTAAGAAACTCTTATCTCTGATTATTTAACCAAAATCTCAGAGGTTCCTAAACACACCTGCATCTCTTCCTACTTTCCCATTGGTGTTTAGCTCCATGGAGCCCATCCATGTAAAGACTGAAAGCCTACTTGGCTTGTAGGTGAATATTAGAGTGGATCTCCCAAACTAACGGCTCTTTTTCTTTTTTTATTCCTTCACTGTAGAAGAGGATGCTCCTTCCCCATCCTTGCCCCAAGTGCCAAAAAGATGGAAACATGTCACTTACATGCACACACTCCTGTCTCGTACCTAGGCTTGTCCACAGAGTAGTCACAGTAAAGGCCTTTGTGGGGGTCGCAGACCTCTGCCTCGTTGCACGTGTCCCCAGGCTGCTTGGCACAGATTTTACAGCACCCACAGCCGTCCTTTACCAGGCTCACCCCAGGTGAGCACCTGGGCTTCCGCTGAGGGCACTGGCATGGCCAGTGGCAGAGCTCTTTCCTCTGATACATTTTAGTGACATCTGTTGCCTTTGCTTCAGACTCTCCATCAGCAGCTTGACTGCTGCCTTGAGCCCTGCAAAAGGACTTACAGATAATTAGCCATTAAGGATCACACTAAAGTGTTAGGCATTTCCTCCCCTCACCTAGAGTGCCTTCTCTCTCTTTCCCTCAATATAACCAAATTCTACCCATTCTTTAATCCTGGCCCGAGTCCCATTGCCCCCATAAAGTATTTTTTGACAATTAAAGAACCACATGGTTTTTCAGTCCTATGAACTCAAGTGCACTCATAATCAGCGGCAGATAAGTTCTCCAAGCCAGTGTTACACAGCATAGCCCTGAATTTTACATTGATCAATTTATTCACTGCTATACATGTCAGTGCCCTTTAATGGCCCTGCAGAATCACAAGCAATTGATCCCTTTTACAACTGCCCCTGCAATTCTGTGAGGTAGGGAAGAAAATGGTAATATCTGCATCTGTCTAGCCCTCTCAGCCCCAAAGCATCATAAATGCCTGATGCTCCATCGATGACGGGTTATGGATTTATCAGTCCCCCAAATTCCTTTTTAAAAAGGTTCTCAAGGAAAAAAAAACATCCTTAAAAGCAATTCCTAGTGGTTTGTGATGTGGGCTCCCATCTTTCTTTTCCACTCCACATGGTCCATATCACAGAAATTGTTATGGGACATTGGCAGGGGTATGCTGGTTAAATGTTTAACAACTGGCTCCCCCGGAAGGCACAACAGATTTTTAAGATTAAGCTGCCCTATAAACATTTCCTCCATCATTCTTAAACCAAGACAATCAATAATACAATTCTAGCCTTGATTGGTAGTATTTATTGGTTTCTGAGGTATAAATAGAATACTGAAATTTTAACAATCAGCTCTCTGGTAGAAGTGGGCTCCCACACTCTCCTATAACTCTATTTCAGGTGCATAGAAAATTAGACCTGTAGGGAACTTCAAAAGTCATCTACTCCAAACTCCTAATTTTCCAAATGAGGAAACTGAGGCCCAGTGATGTGCCTGAGGTCAGTAATTGTCAGATATAGAATCCAGGTCTTTCCTACCCAATGGTCTTTACATTATGCCATCCTCTTTTCCCCTTTATAATATCACCCTCAGAAACCTCATTGTTTCCCATAATCTCAACTATCACTTTTGATTATAGAATAATAAAGGGGGGAAAAAAAGACCTAATATACCATCAGCTGATCCAACTTTCTCATTTCACAGATGAGGACACTGAGTCTCAGAGAAGTGGTCATCTTGCTGAAGATCACTCAAGAAGCAAGAGGTGGCAGAACCAGATGAATTACTTTTCTGGTTTGGACTTCTTTCCAGAAGTGCATTACCAGCTACCTTCAGGACATTTCTACCCGGATCTGACAAGGAGGGCTAGTTTATGAGCTTGGAAAAGTCTTTTCTGAGGATGGGAAATAGTAATTCACTTATTTACACAGTCTAATACTCACAATGAATCTTTCAAAAGTTTTTTTTAGTTTTATTTACAAAAACAGAGTCCCATCAAAAGACAACAGCTAAGTGACTCAGTAGATGGGCCTAGGGTCAGAAAGTTGTTGTTCAGTCATTTCAGTCATGTCTGATTCTTTGTGACCCCATTTGGGCAAAGAGAGCGGAGTGGCCCGAAAGCTGTAAGTTCAAATCCAGCCCCAGACGCTACTAGCTGGATGACCCTGGGCAAATCACTTAAACTTCTATTTGCCTCTGTTTCCTCAACTGTAAAACTGGAATAATGACACCTACCTCCTAGGGTGGTTGTGAGGATAAAGTGAGATAATACTTGTAAAGTGCTTAGCACATAGGCACTTAACAAATGCTTATTTTCTTCCTCCCATGAAGTCAAAAAAATCATACCTTGTAAAAGATCCACAAAGATCAGTCTTTGATGATATTTCCTCACCTGTCACTTAGAGGCAATTTGATATAGTGAGTAGTATACTGAACTTGAAGGGAAAACTTGGGTTCTAATCTCACCTCAGAAACCTGCAAGTTGTGTGACTGCCCGATTTATCTCTAAAAGAAAGGAACTGGACTCAGTGGCTTATAATGTTCTTTCTTTTTTAAAAAAAATATAAGTTTATTTATTTTTAGCTTTCAACATTCACTTCCACAAGTTTTTGAGTTCCAAATTTCTCCCCCCTCCCCCCACCCCAAGATGGCATGCATGCTGAATACCCCTTCCCCTAGTCTGCCTTCTCTTCTATCTCTCTCCTCTCCCTTCTCTTATCCCCTTCCCCTTCTATTTTCCTGTAGAGCAGGATAGACTTCTGTACCCCATTTCCTGTATTTCTTATATAATGTTCTTTCTTGCTCTAAATCTATGATCTATAATCCTATTCTGCTACATCTTCCCCCCCCTTTCAGATTTTACTTATAGAAGAATTTTCTTATCATTGAAGTTTGGTCATATTTAGCAATTCTGGCTAATTTACATGACCAAAATAGTCATTAGTGCAGATTATAGAAATGGCAGCTAATTTAACACAGCTCATCTGAATTCCTCCTTCTACCCAAATTGTCCTGGATTTTTTCCTACTCCCATCTGAATAGCTATGGTCAAGACTGATAAAATATAATTCAGTTTTGTTGCTTCTTAGACTCTCAACTGTGATCATTTTTTTAAAAATCTAGTGCTGTGTTAGAGGCCATGTGGCTTAGTGGATAGATAGCTGGCTTCAGAGTCGGGAAGACATGGGGTTAAACCTGACCATGACACAGAGTGGCCATGTGGACAAGTCACCTGACCATTCAGTGCCTGAATCAGCTCTCTAAGATGACAGGTTGAAAGACAGTTGCTACTCCACATAAACAGAGTGAGTTTCCTCATGAGAATTCCCTAAACAGACTAAATTACAGGTATGGAACCTCCCCCCACCAAAAAAAATGCCATATGTTATTGATATACAAGCTGTCTCTATCTTTTCTCACTTCCACCTATCCCAGTTCTCTGTGCATTACCAACCCTTTAGATTTGACTCTTAAACCAATTCAATTCAGTTCAACAATTATTAGGTACCCCAAGAGCACCATTCTAACTAAGCAATGGGCATCATGATGGAGTAGAAAGAGCAAAGGATTTTGAGTCAGAAGACCTGGATTCTAATTTGGTTCTACTGCTTACTACCTGTGTGACCTTTAACCTCCCTGGGGCAGTTTCCCTATATGTAAAATGAAGGTGGTTGGATTAAATGACTTTGGGGTCCATTCCAGATCTAAATCATATGAAATACAATCAGGAAAAAAATGTCATCTCTACCTCAAAACCAGAAGAGTGAAAACAAAAATATCCTAATAACCATAATGTGATGCGTCATTAAGAGGCCTCCTGGCTTTCACAATAAAATTCTGACAAGATTGTTCCAAGACCACCCCATTGACAATTCCATTCTCCATTCTCAAGAAGCCATGGATACCTTCCTATGTTTTCTAAAGTGCTAAATGAATTTTAAAAATAGCTTTGACTGTGTATCATCAATTCCTAGGGAGAACAAATAAATAATTCACCATGGTCTATTTCTACCACTCCCACCCCGGTTTTTTGTTTTGCTTTATTTTTTGTTTGTTTTTTAAACTGAGTTAATGGCAAGCCCACACAAGATAGTTTTCTTATGAAAATAAACTTTTCTTTGGAGACAGAGCTTTCAATATTTCAAAAATAGTCCTAGCTCTTTAGAAGAAGTGAAAAACATACATGTTGAGAGGAAAAGTCTGCTGTGGACTGTAAGAGGTAACTGTTCCCTCAACTCCTCTTCCAAACAGGAGCAGACATAACGGAAACTTTTTGTTTGCAAAAGTCTGTTTTTTCCAGCAGATTTTTGCACATTCTGTAACCAGGTTGTGGAAAGCTGGGCCCTGGCCTGGAATGGGAATGAAGAAGCAGTGTTTACCCCTACCGTGGGCCCCGGCAAGGCTGCTCCTTCCCAAAGAGATGATGTACCAAGAAGAATCCCCCAAACCCCATTCCTCCACCCCATCCCCAAAATGATTAAAAACCAAAAGGTTGTTCAAATACCTTGAAAAAGAGATATCAGTTACTGAACAAGAGTCCTGTCTGAAACACCTTTGATTCATTCAATACTTAAACTAATACAAGATTTCATCCAGTGTGGAAAATAGCTTGCTAATTGTGATGAAAGATTTCCTGCAGAGATCCCCTGACATCATCTGCACCATCCCATTTGCCCCACTTCCTTCTTCCTTTTTTTTTTTCATTTCTCACCTAAAAAATAAGTGCTTCCCTAGCCCCCTGAGGTGGAAAGATCAACTGGTCAGAGCTTACCTGGGAAGCCCAAGTAGTGATGAGAAGAGAGAAGGAGAGCAGTCCCTGCATGTTCCTAAGCTCAGCCTCCAAGGGGAAGTGAGAGAGAGAGAGAAGACTGGGCCTGTTCATTACTTGCTACACAAAGCTCTCCTCTGTCTCCTCTGCAAACCCTACCTTTCCTCTGCCCAAGAGCGCGCGCACACACACGCACACACACACAGAGACACAAGCACACACACACACACACACACACACACATCCTACCTCATGCATAACCAACTCTGTACTGATACTTTTGAAATGAATTTTCATTTTTGAAGTTCAGAATTCATTTTGCAGCCATACTAACCTCTTCTAATGCATAATAATAATAATAATAATAATAATAATTATTATTATATTATTATTATTATTATTATTATTAATATTATTTAGGGAAAGGAAGCAGACCTGAATTGTTATTGGTATAGGGAGCTCCCCATGAGGAAACTTCTTCTACTGATGCAAATTTAACATGTTTTCTACAACTTAGTCTTAGAAAATTGCCTGGGGCCCTTAGAAGTTAAGTGACTTTCCCAGGATTACAGTTAGTATGTGTCAGAAATTGGTCCTGAACCCAGATCTCACTAGCTTTAAGGCTGGCTCTCTGTCCATTACAGCCGTCATCATCATCACTGTCATCATCATTATCAACAACAGAGGGTGAGCTAACATTCCAATACTTTCATTCCATTGCAAAAAGCATTTATTTTATTCATCTAAGCCGCGGTCTAGAAAACATTAAATGTAAAAGAATAGGAGGATAGTGAATGTCCATGGATCATTTCTATCTGAACTCCATGGAAAAGTATGAGAATGAGATGAATAATAATATATTATAATAGAAAATATATGTTCATATATGAATATATGTTTATGCACAAATATATGTTCACATATAAACATATGTTCAAAATATACAAACATATATTTATTAATCATATTCATCATATATGACCAGATGTTCAAAATATATGAAAATGTATTTATTCATCAATGACTATGTTTTTATTTATCAATAACATTGTATATTGTTATTTGATCTTCAAAAAGTTTTTCAGTCATTTGTCAGTTGTGTTCAACTCTTCACGGCCCCATTTGGTGTTTTCTTGGCAAGGATACTGGAGTGGGTTTGCCATTTCCTTCTCCAGCTCGTTTCACAAATGAGGAAACTATAGTAAACAGAATTAAATGACTTGTCCAGGGTCACACAATTAGTGTCTAAGGTCAGATTTAAACTCAAGAAGATGTGTCTTCCTGACTCCAGGTCCAGCACTCTATTTACCAGCTTCCCCTTCAAGAAGTTCTATAAATAAAATAAATAAATAAATAGATAAACACATACACACACACACACACACACACATAAATATATAGAGAGGTTTTTTTTTTTAAACTAGACCTATGATTTTATCAGTGAAGGGGGTTCCAACTTCCTCTACCAATGTAGATCAGTACCTGCATTGCAGAGAATTACCAGGGACATGACTTGCTCCAGAGTCACACAATTAGTATGCAACAGAAAGCAGGACTTCAACACAGGTCTTCCTGATTTAGAAGCCAGCTCTTTATTCTCTATACTTTGCTGTGTTTAATTAAATGACAGCAATAACCTTCAGACAATAATCACCTTGTTCTCATATTTTTCAGCATAGTTTAGATAGGCAGCTAGGTTTGGACCTAGAGTCAAAAAAACCTGAGTTCAAATCTGGCCTCAGGGCACCTAGGTGGCACAGTGGATAGAGCTCCAGCCTTGAAGTCAGGAGGACCTCAGTTCAAATTTGGCCTTAGACCAAACACATGACACTTACTAGCTGTGTGACCCTGAGCAAGTCACTTAACCTCAGTCTATCTTAGTTTCTTCAGCTGTGAAATTGGGGATAACAATAGCACCCACGTCCCAATATTGTTGTGAGGATGAAAGGAGATGATATTTGTAAAGCATGTGGCCCAGTGCCTGTCACACAGTAGATATTAAATAAATGCTTATTCTCTTCCCCCTAGAAACAGTCCTGAGATGAATCACTATTCTACAGATATGTAGAAAAACTGCATTTTGCACTTGAGTAAAAGTATTGGGATGTAAGTTCACCTTCTGTACATTAACTGAAAGCATCTTTGGGCATCTCTGGTAGCGTACTGGACAATCTGAGTGAAGTTGACTTTATGTTGGAATGTTAGCTCATCTCCTGTTGACTGATGATGATGATGATGGTAATGATGATGCAAGGTATAATGGATAGTTTTGATTCCTTTTGCTAGGTCTCCATATTTTGAAAGTTTTCCATTCAGTGTAGCTTGGAGATGATGACTATTTGATATGGCAAAAACATTATCCTTAAATTTTTTACGGATCAGTGTTATTTTGCCATTATCATTTATTTTCATTGTTACACACAACCATAAGAAAGGAGGCCTTCCAGGAAAGCCAGCTCCAGCTTGGGCAGGCAGGCTACTCATGTGACCAGAGATGGGTCAGGGGTAAGTACAGCCTAGAAAGTTCTGTGTCCAGAAGCAGGAAGAGTGGAAGACTCCTCTAAGAAAACCCCTGGGTTGAAGACGTTGGAAGCCCCAGGAAGTAGATCTCAAACCAGGACACCCCAGGCTCATGGTTTCTAGCACACTCTCTAAAACACCAAAGAAATACCTGAAGATCAAGCACTTTGGACCTCAAAGATCCAAGGTGGGGCCTACCCCAGATCAGTGCAGGAACCAGGTAGACCTAGGTCAAACCAAAGTACAGCCAGCCACCCCACCTGAAAGAGCAGCAGTTGGCACAAAGCCCCAGTTGAGGAACTAAAGCTGGAAAGATGAGTAAATCAAAACAAAGGCTGACTAGTCTAAAAAAAATTATTGCAAATTTAGAAATCTCTAAAAAGAAGGAACAAATAATGCCCTAACAACTGCAAGCAGAGACTCGTGGCGAGGGGAGGGGGAGGAATGGACCACATGAGTACCTAGAAGAAATTAAAATAAAAGGTTTAAAAAATGACATAAAAGCACTGGAGGAAAGAATTGGAAGGAGAATAAGTAGTTTAGTAGAGAAAGTAGTAAATCTTAGGAATAATTGGACACCCTGATACTGAAAGGTGTGCCTCAAGGTAGATTAGAGATGGGGGTGCTGCAGGGACCTCCAGTGAATGTTGCCAAGAATATAACGATTGTTCCTTTCCTCCTGGATGACAAGTCACATGACCACTCCAACCCCAAGGCGACACATTTTGTATTCTTAGCAAAAAAAAAAAATGTTGTCCCCCAAGCCCAGTGTGTATTATTGAAGAAACTCCTCTGGGAATGCAAAGCAATAAAGTCTTCCAGAACAAAGAGAAATCAGTATTATTTTATTTCTTCTACTTCCATCAAAGTACAGACTGCCAGTAAAATGACAGCTGTCCCTATGCTTATGAATGCAGTTTTGCAGTCAGTTACATGTATTTTCTTTGGAAACAATAAAAAAAATGTTTCCCAAAGGACTTTCCTTATCCTCTCTTCAATTCAATTCACCAGACATTTCAATTCAATTCAACAAATATCAGCTCAAATGCTTACTTAACCTTAATTAAGAAAGCCTGTTCTGAACCACCCCTCTACCTCAGCTGCTAGTGCCCTCCCCTGGAAATTTTTACACATAATTTGCCTAGGCAGCAGGGAAACCTGAGGGAGAAACAGAAGGCAGAATGTGTCCGGAAAAATCAAACAACCACCACCACCTTGACCACCATTTCCCCTCAGACCCTGTTGGAAACCACATAGGACTCTCAGACCAAGAGTCTTGGAAAAGCAGTGCCCCACAAACCACCACACCTGCTTCCAGATCAGCCCTGAAAGCCTTTATTGAGGAGAAAAATCAAGTGGGCCCATCAACAGCAATGACTGATGACCACCTGCCATCAATGAGCATATAGAATGATGGGAACGGTAACAATTCCCAGACACTAATCCTGCTTCCAATCCAGCCCTCACAACCATTAGCCAGAGAAGCAACTCTTGCGGGGAAGGGTCCAACCATCCCCACCAACTGTCAGCCAACTGCCATTCACAGGGCAGGCAAGCCAGCCTAGCTGAAGCAGCAAGGCATCCTGGAACGAGAGGAGGCAGCACGTGCCAGGCAAGTCAAACCACTCCCACCACCTCTCCCATCAGATGTCTCCCTGATGGAGACAGCCCAGAACCCTGAGCCCAAGAGCCTTGGGAGTAGCAATGCTTCCAACCCAAGTCCTTCAACCATAATCCTGGGAAGCAACCCCTCTGTGGAGATGCAGTCTGGTGACTGTTCCTGCAGATGCTACATCCACAGGTACTAAATACCCAGAAAGGAAAATTCTTGCCACCAAAGTCCTTGACACTGTCCAATGGTTCAGCATCAGAAACCGATGTGATTTTATCAGTGAAAATGACATTAAAGAAAAGGCATTAATATCTGCTTTGCTACTGTACCCTATGGGATTTTTCTATATGGCTTGTAGCTGAAACCTTCCTTATGTGTTGTCTTCTCCATTAAAATGGGAGCTACTCAGCTCTTTCTGTGGTGGCAAAGAATTGGAAATTGAGGGGATGCCATCAATTGGGGAAAGGCTGAACAAGTTGTGGTACGTGAATGTAGTGGAATACTATTGTGACTATTGTACTATTAGAAATGATGAGCAGGATGCTTTCAGGAAAACCTGGAAGGACAACATGAACTAGTGCAAAGTGAAGTGAGCAGAATTAGGAGAACATTGTACACAATAACAGCAACATTTATGATGATCAAATATTATTGACTTAACTCTTAGCAATACAATGTTCCAAGATAATGCCAAAAGACTCATGATGGAAAATGCTCTTCACATCCAGAGAAAGAACTGATGGAGTCTGAATGCAGATTGAAGCATACTATTTTCACTTTCTTTATTTTTTTATGGTTTTTTTTTCCTTTTGCAAATTGTAATTTTTTTGTAAACTTTCTTCTTTCACAAGATTAATATGGTAAGAAGTTTTACATGGTTACACATATATAACCCATATCAAATTGCTTGCCTTCTCAATGAGGGGGCAGGGGAGAGAGAGACAAAGAAAATTTGGAAGTCAAAATTTTATTAAAAAAAGAA